TTTGAAGGACCCAGACTCGCTTTAATGGACCGGCTGGTTCAGGTTTTTGCAATTTTTGCGTGAGCTTTCTGTGTTCCATGTACGCAATTAACGCCATCAATGTTCGAATCCTTCGCTTTTTGAGTGTTCGATACCTTCGTATCAGGTTTGCCCGATGGTTCCGAGTCCGTATCGCTTGAATGGCAGCCATAGCGCTTAGGAAGAATCGAGCTGTGTTTTTGTCAACAACGTACAGATTATCCATCACAAACACGATGAAGTTTACACTTTTCGCGTATATTCGGTTTGATTAGATCACTTCAGCCGAGGCTGTCTTTCAATACACCATGGGGCAGATTCCCTCGCAGTTGGTTTATCAGTAAAATATTTCGGCGAATTTTGATGTGAGTGCAATTTACCTAAATAATCCCATCCAGACGCTCCGTGTTTTCATCGCCTGTAAACCTACACCAGTTTAGAATTGCTAATATTTTGCGCATTGTTCGTGAACCAATCAGCGCGCGACTGTGACAAGCTTTCTCACTTTCGCGTCCACCATTCGACTGGTGTCGATATCGACTGTGTTCAAACATGGATAAATCAGATAGCAGTCCTTTATCAAACCTCGAACATTTCAGGTAAGAAAGCTCTCAAACAGTTAATATTGCATTTAAACTGAGAATTTTCGATTAATTGTTGGGTAAGACATGAATTATTCGAATAAACTTGTGAACGGACCTAAACCTGCCTTTAAGCTCACGTCCACATGGGATTTCAATCGATGTGAACATGTCTAGTAGGGTCTTCTGGTGAGGTTCCAAAAAAATATAATCTAGCTTTGCACATGAGGTGCACTTAAACTATTTTAACGAAAATAGCAGTTGAATAAGGAGTCGATGTGTTCAGATTGGTTTTTTCCTGTCCGCATTCGGACGAGCACAGGCAAACATTTAGTTTCATCACTTTATGAGCTGTTAACATAAGCAGGAGCGCAGATGTCCACTTCAGCTTAATTAGCGCCTCAGATGAACTTGGAAATTTTCAGTCCATAATTGATTTTGTAAAAGACATCGTGTTCACACAGCTAAGGAAATGAAGGTTTCGAATGTTTCAAATTAAATGCAGCAAGTCGCGTTGTCGCACAAATGTCATGTATACCAAATAATGTTTGATTAGAGAGGATATTTTCGAACAGGAATCGTCAATTTCACTAATTAACATATTGAAATAGCTCCTGTTTTATTTTGGGATGCCCTCAATAATCAACAATTTCACCTGTTGCGAAACAAATAACCTCGCTATTTGAAAGTGAGAGTCGCAATTTGCACAATGAATTTATCGGATAGTTTCATGAAACGAATCCACTCCAGCGGAAATTGTATTAATTCACTCGACACCCACGGAGCTACCCTTGCTAGTGTTTGCTTCATGCTGGGTGTCCTCCGGGTATTGATTGCATGCTCAACTTTTCGATCAGTTTAACTTACAGCATCAAGCATGTATGAATAAACTTTGACTGTTTTGAGCATTTTTTCCTCTCACCTGTACGTTCTTGCGGTTTTTTTAAGGAAATTAGATCGCACTTACCGTGCACCCGGGCATTTATGTAAACTTTCGGCGCTTATTGGAAGAGGGGCGCTTAATCAAGGGGGGGGGGCCTTGGGGGGGAAAGGACGATTAAAACTGATTCCGTAGTAGTTGAAGCTTAAATAGTTAAATAGTGTGGCGATAGAAACAGGATTTTCTCGTATCTCTACCTATAAGAAGGCGAGGGAGGAGGGCGAGGGCGCTAATTCGCGAGAGGCGTATAATTTCATAGAGGGTGGGTGCGTGTTCGGGGGAGGGCGCTTGTTAGAGCGTGGGCGCTTATTTGAGGAAATACGATATGCCGAGTTCAATAAAAACTCGGTTATTGCTCTCCGCCTATTTTAGTTTGTAGTTCAACAAGCATGAACAACACAAATTGCCATCGTTGTACCCTCTTTATAACATCTAACGTGAACAGAGCATGATTTTAAATATGAAAAGTTTTCCTTAAATGTATGACATATTTTAAAGTAAAACTTCCTGAAGCCTCGATTTTGTAGACGTTCCCGCTAAATGAAGGTTTCGCCGTGGTTATTATTTTTTGCTGGTTTCTGTGTCGTTTTATCCAGAGCGTATAGTCAGAATCGGAGAACAAAAGTTTGGCCATGAGACCTTAATAGAAGAAAGCTCCCTCCGATAAATAAATCCCGACATTCCCCAGTATTCCCGTAAGTAAATGGAACAGAATCTCTCACGGACGCATTGTGCCTTAAGCCTCCTCCTTCCCCTCCGTGGGAAATTGAAAGTGCAACGGTACGGGCATAAGCTTGTAAAGCAGTCACTGAAAATACAGCTAGTCGTTTTGAGCGGTTATTCTTGAGTTGGACTCAGCGTTTTTTTTTGTTTTTTTTTTAATTCGATTTCAGTCAGTTCACTGCCTCAATGTTATCTCCACCAGGGAGCGATAAAACAGGCGGCCCGAGTCAACCACTACTCGGCTTCCGTTCAGAGATGCTGGCACGAGAGAGAAGCACTATGTCTCAGTCCAAGGTCACCGACCCGAAATCCCCTGAGCAGGCAAAAGAGTCCCGATTCAGCGCTTTCACAAGCATTTCTTCCGATGGACAAGGCTTACCTTCCACCGCTTACCCATCCAGGTCAGCGGACTCATTCATTTCGGCTATGCCCATCAAGCCGGGCCGCTCCCCTAACTGGTCGGACGCAGAAACACGGTTTCTTATTACGCTCTGGGGCGAGCAGTACCAGAACATTAGTCAGCAGAGGAACGCGAAGGCCTGGGACGTGGTGGCACGATTGCTTAATCAGAAACTAGCGCAGTGCGGTTTTGAAACATTTCGCTCGGGTCAGCAATGCAAAGGGCGGATGAAAAGTGTTGTTTTCGATTATAAAACCACAAAAAAGCGCATCGAGTCTGGTGAGGATGATAGAACGTGCGACTATTTTCAAGAGATTGATGAGGTGCTGGGAAAGACTTTTGTTAACGACGGCATCGATGCGATCGAGTCCGGTTCAGCTGTAACTCAAGAGGACGAGAAAACGTCAAATACTAGTGGGGAGAACGAAGAAAGCAACGCTTGTGACAACATTGTAGTGGTTAATATTCCAGCAAGTGCTGCACTAAGCGTGGAAACGACCACTGGATTAACTTGTTTTAGTAAAGAAGTCAGCCAGTCACTGCCCGAACACGGAGAGCTGTTAGAGAAACGTGAGCCACCCAAGAAACGGAACAAGAGGAAGGCCTCCGCAGAAGAGGACGAAGACACATCCATGCTGCGTTTCCTTAAGAACTACATGGAGGAAAGCGACAAGCGTGATCGTGAATTTTTATTGCAAATGACAAGGATGGACCATGAGAGGGAGGACAGAAATTTTGAACGAACAATGAAAATGATAATGGAAGTAGCAAAAGTGTTTAAAAGTAGCGTTGCTAATACACCCGATAATCTCAGGGGGAGTGGTTTGAGTTCTGCCCCTCACCATCAAAGTGGAGATTCTCGGTTTGCCTCTGGTTATGGAATGGGTTCTTCACGCGCAGGAGATACTCGAGAGACGCCATCGAACAGAGAGAGCAGAAAAAAGGCTAACGATGGTTCGGCTCAAGACGAGAACGGTAAACCACATCAGTTTCTTAGAGATTATATGGAAGAAAGTGATAGAAGGGACAGAGAGTTCTTGCTACAGATGACCAGACTGGATCACGAAAGGGAGGAGAGAAGCTCGGAACAAACTATGAGGCTCATGTTGGAAGTCGCAAAAGTGTTCAGAGGCGGCAATTGATAGCCATGTTCCTTGCCGCGTAAGTTGTATATTTGTAGCGATAGAGAGATGTTCATATTTTTGATGTGACAACGTGAGGTGGTCCCTTTCTTTCGTATTACAACAGCTTTAATCTGTAGGAGTTACGTTACAAGTCAGTTCTGTCTCGTTTCTGCGGGAAAGTTCGCCTTTCAAAATAAATTTAAAAGAAGTGTGTACTGGAAGTCATGGGATTCTCCAGACATCTCGATTCTTATATCTGCTCTATCGAAATGACTTTGCTGAAAAAAATATTGAGAAAAAGACAAATTTATTTCAAATTTAAATCAATTATAATTAATTTTGATTTTAAAGATTTTTAATTTAATAAAAAGTAAGAAAGAGAGGATCATTTTGAATTCTTTGTTGTTAGACATCCAGGAGCAAGATATCGAGATACATGGTGTTGTTTAGACTTTAATGTACCATAACTGGAAATGCTCTTGCAGTCGAAAGCTAAAACCCTTCCTGTGCGCCGTTAAGTAAAGTTGTCTTGGGAACGATACGTATTGTAACTACTAAAAAACGGTTTTATGAGAGTTTACAACCCTTAGAGTGACCAGCATCTAATTTCTTCTTACAATAATACTGCTGAATCATTCATTAAGATCATGAGAATTAAAGAAATAATCGGTAACCTAAGAAGCTTTGATAGTTAAACAAATTTTCCTCGTCGGTACTAAAGGAAATGTATGATGGAGTTAACGGGGAACATGGATACTGATGTTAGGGCGTAAAGGGTTTAGTTTGACCGAATATGATAAACCACAGAATCTTATCCCAGAGTGTAGAGAGAGGTTAATGAATTTAAAGATTCAGTGATGAAAAACAGAACGTATTACTAGCCTCCATTCCCCTTCATCACCCTGTAAGTGGCTATGCATGATTAGTTGGCATAAATCGATACGTAAAGGAAGTTAGATGACATGGAAGTGAAGTGGGGGAGGGGGGTGGGGAGGAGGGGGGAGGAGGTGGTAGAGAGGACAAGAAATACGATAGAGATGAACAAGGGATTTTATAATAGATCGTTTCACTTCTCCTTCGCATACTTTCCCTCATCGGCTTGAAATCCCGACCAAAATCCAATGTAATAAGAGTGAAAATTATGGGATGGCACAAATATTTTTTATAATTATCTTATTTTCGTCATGTTTTCTGGACTACTAGCTGGTGTTCCCTTAGAATGGTTTGACAGACATAATAGTCGACGACTTGGTCCGTTTGACTCTCCCCCGTCCTGCATTAGAAAGAGACGGTAACCTCGGAACTTGCATGCTGGTGGCTCTTGAATTACGCGCGTATTTCAAACGGAGATGCTGATCCATCATAGATTCACCAAGAAGGCCTGATGACGACCCAGCCATCGACTCCGCAAACGCCTGAACCCGTCGTTCGGTCTCGCCCAATGGAAGCAGACTTGAGCGCCGGGTGTCGCAATCTCCGCTAGATTCGTTTACGATCGCGGGTTGGGGAGGAGTGTATCTGCGTATAGGTAAACCTTGTCTGTACGAGGGTGAGTTCTGCTCAGCATAAAGTGTCAATAGTTTTTGAACCGACAAGCGCGATGATGAGTTAGAGCCCTGTGTCAACCTTTTTTGATCAGCTAATGTTGCGAAAGCACTGTTCACTGGGTTTTCGAGAAATTTCATTTCGTTGGCGTCTTCTGTGAATAATGACTGCGCTGAAATTGACTGTTCCTGTGGAATAACTAAAACAGACCCCAGTTTTCTTAATCTAGACTTTACGATATGACTTTGTTGCTGCGTGGCAGCGTTTTTCTTGTTACTCTGAAATTCTTCAGTTTTGCTTGTCTGTGCGTCGTGCGTATCTTTATCCTTTGCAAACAGAAACTCAAAAATGTCTTCTTCAGTGAAATCTGCCAAAATTTTTTTTGTTTGTTCACGATCAATATGGAAATCAGTTCTTGAAGAGTCAAACAAAAGCGCTGATCTTGTACAAAACTTGACTGAATCGTTCTGAAGGGCTCTCAGGTACTTAAGCACACTTGAAAAAGAAGCTCCCGCTTGTTTTATGAGAAACTGAGCGCAAACTTTATCACCGCGAATGAAAGCAGCTATTAACGGCTGCATACCAACGTTGTTAGCTTTATTAAGTTCACTTGCTCTCGCCGTGCCTCTTAATGCCTCTACCATCATTTTAACGACTAAAAAATTGCCAGACATTACAGAGAGTAAGAGAGTATTGTTCCCATCCTTATCTGTGATATTGATCCTTAAATCCATACAAAGCGGATCATTCAAAAGAAATCTAACCACTTCAAGTTTTCCCTGCAGACAAGCCCACGAAAGTACTGTGCGTCCATAGTTGTCCTTCTTGTTAAGGGTTGCGCCCGCAACAACTAAACATTTTAAAATCTTCATTCGCGTGCGGAAGTCATAGAGAAAGCAGGAGTGTATTAGGGCCGTTTGTCCGTCTTCGTCCACTTCATTAACATCTACACCAACTTTTAGAAGCATTTTTACTTGTGTCCTTCTTCCACCCTTCACGGCATTTATTAGCAGCATCTTCCTTTGGTGACGCGTCAATCTTTCACCCGCTTAGCCGATTTAAGAATTTTGGAAAACGTGCCAAAGCATTTGTCGATTCCGCAAATTGCGGCAGACCAAAGTCAAAAATAAACTTTTTGTGTTTTCTTGTGCTTTAAAGAATAAGTGTGGTTAACATATTCCTGTCATCAGTGGAAGATTACTAGTCTCTTCGCTAAACAAGGTGGATATAATTTAAAGCTTGGTTAATCATCGAGGGAGCTTTTGATTGACAGGATCATTTATTACAAAGGAAATTACAGCTTCGGGTGACACTTAATTATGTAGAAGGACAAAGGTGTTTAAGTCGATTGTACAATTATCGTGATCCTTCATAGTGTATGATATTAAATTTTCCTTTTTAGAGAGCGTTTTCATTAAAGTAGATAATGGAAATAGAAAAACCACGTTTCAGTGCATACAATCGAAGACACAATCGGAATGAATTTGATACAGATAAATAGTGGAAATGCCACGGGGAAAACTGCGATTTATGTTGAAGAAAAGTGATTATCCATGTTGTTACTTTTCCATGCGTTTTACAGAAGAAAATAGACTTCTCCATTCTAAATTGCGTTCACGCACTCAGACAGGAGGAAATGGTTACTGAATATTATTTCAGCCTTAACGTTATTGCTGTGAAAACCCTTTACCGGGTTTTTACATGATGAAAAGACAAGCGACAATTCCTTCCTTCGCATGAGTGCTTCCCTCTAGTTACAGTGGTCTGGTGCCTCACTTCGTTGCGGACGAGCACAATTCCGAATTCTCATTGGTTAAGAAGTGTGATTCATAGAGCGTAGTATAACAAAACTTATACACTCCTTCGCTCTGACAATGGGCTGACGCTCGAAACGTCAGCTTTGCGGTGGCCAATCTACGTTATCAACTCAGTTGATTAAACCAAATTAGCTTGTACTACCCACACCGACGCAGTACCATAGTGTCTTTTAAGACTTACGTCCCTCACGCCTTCGACACTCAGTTGAAAATTTTTCCATGATTTTTTATTTTAAGGCCCATTCGATCTATCAATTGAGTTCGTTTCCCTTTTAATAGTTTTTCTCCTCAGAGTTGTTAATATACGGGACAACGCGCGGACGGTGCGGGACATCAAGGGATTTTCTGAGATTTCCCAAAATGCATTAGAATACTTGGTAACCTGGCCAATAAGTAAATCACCGCGAATATTGTGAATGTTTTGGAAATTTTGGCCTAACTTTTTTCAGTTCGCGATGATAAATATAGCTAGAAATACGAGAGGACTCAGATAATATTCCAGATTTTGGAAATTTCAAGCCAAGGCATGGAAGGCAAGTATTCCTAATTGCAAACCCGTGTCAATGACAGCTGGATGTTTTGTGCTAAATGAGTAGCAAGCTTATTATGTTTCCGTGGTTTCACATATGTTGTATACATTTTACTTTCCTTGTGAAAATTACATTTTGCGGTTTTTTTACTCGAGTTCGTAGAATTTTTTGATTAGAAATAAGGATATTTGAAATTTTGGTTTTTGAGGCAGTGTTTTTTTGTTACCTGAGCGATCCAAATTGCGATATTTACAGAGTAAATTCTACTCGTGTGGTCTCTGTTTATATGGTGCTTAAACGACCAGTCACTTGCTCTATAATTACAAGGTTTCGTGGATATTTGATCTTTGCATAGTACAGGCCTATCATCTTGAAACTCAAACATCTGTAGGCTCTCGTTGTGTTTGACATTGGGCTCTTCCTGAGACTCGACTCATATCAAGAGTATCACTTTATCTTTTGATACCTTTAATACCCGACTTCTCGAGTCATTTTTTGCTGGTTCCCAGGAAGTTTCAGATAATGAGAATCCATTGTATTTTATAGTTGTGTGATGGTTTCAAAATGGCAGCTGCGTGGGTCTCCATGCTTTCATGGACGGTTTTTTACCAATTTCAAGCACAGTTAATCTCTTGAGTGATTTATGGAAATGCATAAATATAATTCATGTATGCCCTGTGTAGTTGAGGATAACATCACATTTAACCTAATCACAATCTGCTTTCATGTTTCTTTCTTCTTGTCTCTATCTTCCAAAAAAAGTTATTAATATGTGAGGAGAGATGACCTCAGTTCATCACTCCTGAGAGTTTTTATAATAGAAACTTTGCAATTTGATGTTTGATGTGTTGGTGATGAAAGTACAGTAATATATTGATTGGCAATTGTTTAACATAGTGATTGAAATATTAGAGATATCTGAAAGAATGAATTGTAAAGTCACTTATGACAGGAGTAAAAGGGTTGACAAACCTGTCTAATATGAGGGATTGTGAATCAGGAAATTTATTTGATATCATGGCCACTTTGATGCATCATGCAAACGGTACAAAGAGTATTTATCTATCTGATGTGGGTATCAGCATAGTTCTTTTTTGAATTTTTATGGATTAAGATGAGGAGGAGGTCCTTTGAAATGATAGAAAAAAGAAAGGAGGCCAACAGTATTAAGACGTCCAAAAGAAATTAAAACAACTTTTAGACCATGTTTGATTTTTTGATATCCATCTTGTCTGCTCAGGTTAGCCAATATAGGACACAGGATTCACTTCATCTTGCCCACTTGCAGATTTAGCCTAACAACAAGAATGACTTATGAAAAACTTTGTAAACTTTGGCTTATTGTTTGACTTATTGATTTATTAGACCATCATGGAAAGTGGGATAAATCAAGAGGAAAGCAAGGAAAGCTTAGAGAAGAGGTATTTTGTTGGCTGAATATTGTAAATTTATTATATTAAAAAAATATGTACTTCAGATTCCTTTCCCATGTAGGTCACTTCTGCCAGTTTATTAGTAAGAATGCAAAAACTGCAGTATCTTCAGGGGCCTGCTCTATGAGATTTGAGAGAAGCTACCTTTAATATTACAGTCAATTTTTTTGCCTTTCCTCTATTTTAATCATGGCTTTTAACCGTGACCCAGGTTCTGTCAGCAAAAGAAGAAGTCCGCCCAGAGTATGAAGAATATTTGCTTCTGCTACAGCAGAGAAACAGGTGATTGAAGAATGCATTTTAGAAATTTTTTCATACATTCTGATTTAAAAGTGTATATTTAATAATACTCATCAAGGTTTTTTTGTTACAATAATAGCTTTTTTTTAATAGCTAAGGGTGGTTAGGAAGTTTTCGGTAAACTATGGAAACTTAAGCTTAGCACAATTGCATGTCACTGAGCCATTGTCCTTCCCATGGCTCAAACCCACAGCTTGCAATATAGAGTACAGCACATTCATTACTGAGCCATTGCACTTCCTGCAACAGGGCTGAGGAAAAAAATCTGCCTTTTTGTGCTCTTCAGGTGAACCCTTTGTAAAATATTCTTCTGTTTAATATGAAACTAAGCAATATGGATACCAAATGTTCTTCTTCTTTCTCTCTGGTTTTAATTCTGTACATGTATATACAAGTATGTTAGAGGTTGGTACCTGTGTTTGAGCTGACTCAATATTTATACTTATTTTCAATATTTATGGAATTAAAACAGAGTCATCTTTACCAGTTATAATATACCACTTGTCATTAAATTCTATTTACTTTATTAGCAGCTATTTTTTATGTTAAATTTTATGAATAATGCAAATTTTCTTCCCTCTTATTCTTTATAGACTTCTAAAGAAACTAAAGGAGAAGAATGAACAAGAGATTGAATTGGAAAAAAAGGAGCAAGGATTCTCTATTTATGTCAACGGTGCTAATGTAGAGCTTGGCCAAGCTTATTCCAGGGCAAAATCACGCAGTTCATCAAGGCATGCTAAGACAGCTGGAGGTGAAATAATTATATTTCACAAGATATTAAGGGATTTAGGAGAATTAATGATTTTGACATGATCAGCAGCTATCAAGTTGAGGCATATATTAAAACCTTTTTCATTAAGGAGAGTATTTTTTACTTGTTTACCTTATGTGCTTATTCCCCTAATTATGCAATCATGCACAGTACAGGATGTGTGATGCAATACTGAGGAGTCACCTTGAAACTTTAGTCTGCACTTCTTAGTCTGCATAGCTGATTTTTTTTGTTTTCAATTGATTTCTTACTCAGATGTTCATCGTGAAAGAAAAAAAATCTTACAACATGAACTGGAAACATTAGAAAGAGAAGCTGAAGCGAGGTGATGAAGCTAGGACTTGTTATACCTATGGTACATAATTAGCAATGAGGCTGCAACCTTTATAGAAGTCAAAATTAACATGTACAGTAATCTTAAAGAAAAAATCCTCTATGAATGTCTATCTTTAGTTAGCAACTACACACCTACCTCTCCCCTGACCAAACAATAACCCGACTTGTTATCAGTTGTTTGTTGTTGGGTTAGGGAGGGGTAGGGATGCAGCTGCTCAGATACTGACCTTCATCCAAAATCCCTCAGCAAAATGAAATGGAATCATTATGTTGCAATTTACCAAATATTTTTTGGGACAACAAGAAATCTGAATTACATTTAAAACTATGTTGTATATTTTATTTATATCAGTACCCTAAGTTCACAAAATTTGCAAGAGTAATTTTTACATAATTTGGTATATACTTCAATTATTTGTTCATACTTGGATAATATTTCAGTGTGGAAAGCATAACCTTTACAAAGTTATTGAACTTTAACATTTGCTGTCATCATAGAATTAACCTTAAATTTACCTCTCTACTTCAGGGATGTCAGAGTGAAAACAGCTCCTGATCCCACTCCTAGTACAAGAAAAGGCTGGAAATATGTATGTTAACTGTACACATCAATTCTAGAACTATAGAGTGATGCACTAGCTTCTTGCCCTTAACCCATGAACAACTAAGGATACAAACAAATGATGCATTTTAGTCTGACATTGTTGGTTACCCTGTGCCAAGATGGAAAAAGTATTGGTGTGAGGGAGATACCTGGCAATTCAATTTTACTCATTTGATCTCCACAGAAACGATGCAAAGGGTATTAGCTATTTCACTGCCTTGAGAGAGACCTTTGTACTGGCAGAGACTTGAAATGTATCAGTATTGTCTGTCAGTTACATGAGGGTAGCAAAAGGTTAATATGTGATGTATGATCAAGGCCATAATCAATACATGATGTGTGAATTTTACAGAAAGGCGAGATTGATTCATGAATTTATGAACCAGCATGATAGGTGATTTCCTCCCTAAAAATAAGTGACTCATGAATTTTTCTCACATTTTGTGTTAACCTTAAGATTTCCCTTAAAACTTTGTACATAAAAAGAGAGATTTGCAGTTTTCCCCTTTATATACGTTACACAAATTTTTTTCTGAAATGAATGGGGATTAGGACCCCACTTTGCCATCCTTCTATTCCATTCTGATCAATTTGAGAAGTTTTCTGCACTATGAGACTCAGTTGTCTGGCCAAAAATTGTCAGGCTAGCTAGCCAGATAATTTTGGGCTCTAACACAGACCTCTGGTTCTGCATTGCTTACCCTGGTGCAGAGTGACTTGACTACAGATCTATCTGATTTAGCAGATCAGGATCATCCCAAAAGCAATCTGTCTATATTTTTAAATGTCCATGCTATTGATCTCTCATTAGGATTCAATACAAATTAAAACAGTTGGAGGAAAGAGTGTGAGACTGAGAGCTCCAGGTATTATTTGGATTGATTTTCAAATTGTCATTGCTGAAATAATTGTGGGTTTAACAATTGTAAAAAGTGATTATATGGTTACTAAAAGTTCAAATTGAGATAATCTCAGGTTCAATAGGAGGAATGGTATCTAAAACAGAATGGCTTTGGATTTTTTTTTTCATTTCAGCTATTTTTTTTGGATCAATACGTCCACAGTTAGAAACCGCTGAATGGATAAGTTAAAATTAGAAGTTCAGTAAATTTTCAAAAACAACCACAATAAAAACATCTACACCTGTAGGCATATTTTATTTTGATCATTGTTTGTGTTTTAACTCGAGTCATAGAAAAATTTAAGTAGGTTGTGTAGAAAGTTTTACTCATGCATCCAATCAGACAAGTGGCTTGGAGCTATAGTCATTCAATCAAGACAAAAACATTCCTGTACTTGTTACAGACGAGTGGAAGGGTGACAGTTTTTGACCCTGTTAATTAAATAAATATTCTCATTGATTGAAAGAAACCTCACAAACTTGTTATGGGTTGAAACCATCACATTCACAAAACTTATCATTTTTAGGGAGGATTACTGGTAAATACAGTGAGGACTTTGAATCTGTGGCTGTGGAAAGTAGTGACAGTGCCTCTGACCAGGTGAAGATTTCAGTGCATGCCTGTACAACTGTGCATAAATATCTAACAAAATGTCCCCTTACATTTTTTCTCTCTGTTGATGACATGTTTTTTTTCTGGTGACCAAATTTTTTATGTTTTTAGCCCACTAAGTTAAATATCTAGTTACCTTAGATCCCTGGTTGCAAACAGGACATACTGATCTAAAGATTAAAAGGTTTTGGTTTCCAGTGTCAGTGAAACAGGACATAATTAGGAAGCTTATTCTTCAAAATTGAGTATGCTTAGTGTTTACTTAATAGTTTTTCACAATGTTTTAAAAAATAATTTGCTAAAATCTATGAAGCATTAAAAAACAAAAAAGTATTAAGGTTTGTTGTATTTCCAAACCATGATCAGCTAGCTGAAGAAAAAATAGCACATTCTTAGACTCAATTTAAAATTTTGAACAAGTTTTGTTCTCAGGAATTTAGCATCAGAGTTGTTGTTCATTTACATATTTTATCCATGTCCATACAAAGTCACAAAATCATTATTAATTTCATGTGCTGTAATCACTCTAGGATGTTGCTGATAATGACCTAAGTGATCAAGATGAGTTAGAGTTTAACAGTGATGATGAAGAGGATGAACTTACTCTCAGTTTCAATGATGTTGAGGTATATGCAGCACTTCCATCTATAATTATGTCTATACCATTAGGGACATACTTTGTCTTTTTTATCATAATGCCTTTTATTCCTTGAAATTTGTTTATTACATTTGTTAGATTGCATGTATTGTGATATTCTCCTTGGCTTATTACAATAGACACTTCGCAAGTCTCTAGAAGCTGATGAATCCATAAAGGAAAGTATTGAAGCAGCCAAAAAGGTATTGACTGTAACTCTTATTGGCTCCTAATTTACACAGAGCCACATATAGCAATTTGATTCTTTGCCATAGATTTTTGTATACTGTAATTATAAGTTTACCATCTAGATATAAATGTAAAGCATAAATGTGTAGTGATCAAATACATAAAATATGCTTTACCTTACAAATCGTTGAAGCCAGGAAAAAAAAAATCAATTAATACATGTATGCCTTCTGCTCTTCAGAGAATAGAGGAAGAAACAAAGGAGAAAAATGCCAACAACAATAACATTATTGATGATGACAATGAGGATGAAATTGAAGAAGAATTAGAAGGAGCAAATAGTAGTTTAAATCTCCATGATGCAGCTGCGTTAGAAAGACTACCACAATTGACAAGTACACCAGACAAAAGACAGCATGAAGTTGAAAGCTCTATATACACTAGTAACAACATTTCAGAGAGTCTGGGGTTTGGGAAAACCTCATCAGTTGACACTGACCATGAAAAAACTAAATCTGTGAAAAGCAAAGACTTGTCTGTGACTTCTGATGGCAATCAGAAAAAAACTCATCAAAGAAGCAAAAAACATAAAAATGAATCAGTGAACCCAGTTGAGGATCTTGTTGTTCTTAGTTTTTCATCATTAACAGGTGAGTATGAGCCAGTGTAGTTAGTGTACTTGAATAAACACAATCGCACACAAAGTAGAAACTAAGGAGAGAAAGAGATGCAAGGAAGTTTTATCTGAAGCTCATTGTCCTTTCTCTTAAACAAATGTTGGAACAAATTATTGCATAGGCATATGCTTATAGCTTTGTACAAGAAACTGTCAGTAGTACAGCTTCCTATATGTTACCATAAACACCACTCTTTACCATTACATTTAAACCTTGTCAGTTATGCAAGGGCTATTCTTGTTGTTAATATTTTAATGTGATAATTCAGTTTGCTGAATGCCCCCGTTTACACCGATTTTAGGGAAAAGAAAAGAGAGAAACTTGTCAGCAACAAGGTAGGCATCATTTGTCACCTCTTAAAATAGGTTATGAAGTTACTGGTAGTGGGTACTTTTCCTTGAGGATAAACATCATACATTTAACTAAGTTTATACAAAGTTAAGGAATTATTGTCCTAAAGAAAAGTCTGTTTTGTCATCTGTCAGAATGTTTTTGAAAATCAATGAACTTTTTTCTGTTTTAATGATTGCAAAAGCCAGGCATGAGTTTGAAATGGATTGAATTGCTAAAAATTATTCCCTATTATCATGTATAACAGAAATGGAGTGGAGTAACCTAAAATAAAATTTTCACTTTTACCTGCCTGCACTCATTAAATAAATATTTTGCTTCACCCCAATCTTGGCTGCCCATGTATGAAGATTAAATTGTCAGTCATTTCCATATTCTTGCTTCCTTATGAAAGGCGGAAGAAGAATGCAGATCCTTATGACAGCACAGAACACTTTTCTTCCAGAGAAGACAGATCTTATATTAAACAACAAAAGAGGTGAATGCTTTGATTTTATTGATTTTTTTGATTATAAATAAGTAATTAGTTAAAACTAATTAACACGTAAAAAGTATTTTTACTTATTTTTTAAGATATGATTCCCAAGAGCGAAATATTTTGATGAATAATTTGATACAGCTAAATGTATTTTGGTTAAGGTTGACCTCAAGACCAGGCTTGTGGTAAGCTGCTGCATTCTATGCAGACAGGCATCATGCAGGTTGACCTTGGAGATTTCCAGAACAGATGCTTTTGATTGTATAGCTTGGCAGTGCCTGCTTTGCTTTGCTTATCTTTGTGGATTATTTCATATCTACAACTTTCATCAGCTGTTGTATTTGTACCCTACTCCTCCCACCTACAATGTAGGTTAATACAGAGGGTCTGTTTAAAATTCCAGTGAAATTTCAGTGCAACAGTAATGGTTGGTTACATGCCACTTGGTGACCATCAGAATGGCTGTCTGAGCTCCAGGCCCTACCATGTTTAAAGGACATTTGAAACCCAATATTGTTTTGTTGATGAGTGTAATTCTTGACTGATGATACTGCATTTGAAAAAAAGTGTTTAAGACTGACTGAACACAATCAGGTGATGAGGAAAGGTGATGTCAACAATCACATTGCTTAACATCATTGATTTCTAAACCACACTATTGACTGGGACTCTGTGCAATGCCTAACCTACAGCCCTAACCTACAGCACTAACTACTTCAATGACTGAGTCTGAAAAGCTGGTTTAGTAACTTTCAACAAACTCCCTTCAACAGGTGTACTACTGGCACCATACAAATGACTTACACATGACATTAACTTTACAAAACAACAAAACAGAACAACCTAACTGAACTGATGGATCCAAACAGTTTAATCAAAACCAACTTACAGCCAATAACATCCAGAAAGAATTGATCAACTATTCACTCGACTCTGATGGTAACTTCTGTTCAGGTTGTCAAAACATCAGTCATCATTAGTCCTTCTCAGGACCACACTCAATTGCACAATCAGACAAAAAAAGTTGATTTGTCCTCTTTTAGTTTAGTATTTTTGTTAGATTAATTCAAAATTGATGTTAATTTGTTAAGTGGCAAAACATTATTTGTTGTATGAATACAGAATGAATTGATTTAAATTTTTTAGATCAGAAAAACATGAATCAGGAAATCAAGAAGTAACCTTGACATCAGGTAAAGAACTAAGTTTGTTTTTGATAAATCACCCTCTGATTTCTTGGTGGGACACTGTACCTCTGAGCTACAGAGAACTTGGTGGTGAGCTTTGCCCTGTAGTAGGTTCAAGTATGATAAATGTCCTGCTTACTGCTAGGATCAGGTCAAAAGCATCATGTGTCTAAAGAGTACACTATATCTTCATGTTGGTGACAAATGTCTCACAGCTCTCTCTAAGAAACAACTGTGCTCAAAATTCTCCATCTTTCTTCATCTGTTTGGTCTGAAAGTAGTTTGAATTAGCACTTCCAATAATTGCAAGGAAATAAATAAGCAAGACTGTATTATTACCTAGAATAAAAAATTGGAGAATAAAAATCAACTAAGTGCAATTTTGTTTCTTGTTTTCATGAAAGCTTCAGAAAAGAAGAGTAGACCTTTGTCTGCAACAAGAAGAATGGAACCTAAGGATAAATTGGACGACAATGCAGAAGAGATTTTTAAAGCAATGGCTGAAGAGAATCAGACAATAGGTGAGAGATTATGACATCACATTGATTTTTAATTGCTTTGAAAGTCAGGTATTAAAATTGAAATGTGAACAAAACATGTGAAAGGCAAGAAAGGGTTACAAATAGTCCTAATGGTTCAGCTTATGAGTACATGTGATGGGTCTCACATGCTAAGTTTTTACCTGTGAGCCTCGATCACTTTTTCAAGCTTAGGTTTTAAAAGAAAATAAGGGGCTTTCACTATTGAATGTATGTTAAGTCTCACAAATACACTTTTAAAAAAATTTATTTTTCAATAACTGCATGCAAAAATATTTGTCAGTAGTAGTGAAGGGTACATGTAGGTGCTGAACAGGAAGCAGCAGAGGAGAGCAGGATTCTCCTCAGCAGAAAAGTGGTGTGGCAACCAAGCCAAAGCCCACCTCTGGGTACCTGTTAGCACAGCACAGACAAACTAGTGTCTTGATTCAATACTAACCCAAAAACTTTGGAAGGACTTATGAGGAGGAGTAGGAGGAGGAGGTGGAGGAAGAGGAGAACAAAGCCAGAAAATTAGCAAATAAAATTGAGGAAAAGCAATGCCTCTGCAGTTCTCCCAGGGACCCCTCACAGCCTATGAGTGAAATGCTTGCTTTGACGTAGTTATAACCTTGTCTACATTACAATTAGCCTTATTTAAGTTAAAAAATCTTGAGAAAAATTACTCTCTCTCTCTGACTAAAATGATACTCTGGTTAAAATGTTGTGTGATAAGGTGGTCAAATGACTAATATAAATTATATGATAACCCTTTTCTATCTCATTTTTTTAGAATCAAAAGCATCTGGATCTCAGACAGCTCCAGTAAGATCTAAGGTAAGTTCAAAACTTTAAAGCACTTTCATCAACTTGAAGGGAAATGGAAACAGCATTAGCGAGAATGTTCTTCAATCATTGGTAGTGATAATTATTCTTGGCCATTAAGTACCATTCTCCTGGTACTTAAACTTAACATTAGGTGAAACATTTTAAGCTAGAATTGAGATTTTTATAGTTGGCTTACTCTAGGTAGTCATTCAGTCTTGATTTAGGGTAAGATTTTATCATGCCGATTTTACTTGAGTTTTTAGTACAACGTTTTCCTAGAACGTATCCAGCTCACCATTACATGAGGTTAAAAGGCCATCATCATTGGCTTCCTTTCCTTTGAAAACTGATGACACCATAGCTCTTGTCACAGAGAAAGTCAGAAAAATGGATGCAAGGTGAATGAACAAGTTATATTTATTTCCATTATTAATTTGGCCTATGTGTACATGGCGAACAAAAGGCCCATATTTTCCTAATACGTCCAAGCCCCTTTGTACAACCACCTTCCTGTTATGTAAGTTATTTGACTCTATGTCTATGCAGTAATTAGCATTGTATTAAAAGGATTTAGATTCATTGTTAATTATTTCAAACATTGCCACTCTGCCTACTACAACAGAGGAAGTTAAACATGATATAGCCATGTAGACAAACATTTACCAGAGTGACAAAGAGGTCCTGATTTTTCACCCATAGGCAACAGCAAAGTTTAATAGAGCTTCTGTCCAAACTGGAATGCAAGGCTCCTTTTAAAGTGTCCAGTCCATCACCTTCTCCTCGACTTTCCCCAATGAAAGCTACTGTGCCATTTACACCCATGACAAAATCTTCATCTATTGAGAGTCAATCTAAGGTAATAATGTGTATTCTCTTGTCATTTTGATGACAAAGTGGTCTAATGGCTAGAATGCTACAATCTGGATCAAACGGTCTGAGTTCAAGACGTTGCCAGGTCACTGTGTTGTGTGTTCTTGGGCAAGAGACTATACTCTCACAGAGCTTCTTTCACTCAAGGATATAGATAGGCACTAATGAAATATCTGTAAAACACGATGATATACAGGGAGAGGGGGGCAACCCTATTGTACAGTTTCATCCCTCCCAGGAAGAATAGCTTTTCTTCCAGTGGCTTTACACTATGGAAACCTGGATAAGCTGTGGCAGGATAAGCTTTCCACCTCACAAGATGACAATGTATCGATCCAACACTATTTTGTTTGACTCTTTATAGAATGGTTTTAGCATGAGGAAACACCTTGGATTTTCATGGAGTGCTCTTTCAAGGGGTACTAACAGTTTTTAAGGGAGGGAAATGGCGTTCAGTGTTGTTCAATAGTTGGGTTCTGTTCCTGCATCTACAATGTAGTGGCTTGACTCCACTTCGCTTTCTCTTGAACAGCAAACAAGGTATTTTGTTTTTCCCTCCAGGATTTCAGTGTAATGGATTCACTGGATGATGCTGAAAATAATAAAGCTGAAAGTGAAGAGGGAACAGATGTCTATTTTGAGATTATTTCAAACTGGGGAAACTCAAGTTATGTAGGACTAACAGAGGTTTGTAATTTCCTCTCTTGTAATGTTGTAACTAATTTTGAAACCGACATAATAATCACAGTAAGGAGGTAGTTTAATTGGACAAGAGATTGGCTCAATGTATCTAACTAACCTGATGGTTTATTTTCTCTTCACATAAATTCTTTGTTCTTCAGATTCAGTTCTTTGATTTAAAGGGGAACACGATTCCTTATGATGAGCACAATGTGAGTTTATCAGGCCATGTTAGAGACGGGGGTGTCCTTGGTAACTTAGCCAATGGGAAAACAAAGGTAGTTGTGTTTACCTACCATTTATTATAATTGATTGTATTGTAAGCCAAGTTGTTGTGGGTTGCACCTTAAACTGCTTTTGCAAATGTTCCCTTATGTCCTACAAACGTGCCTTTTAGTATTAGCTAAGTACATGCTCATGCCAATGGCGAATGAATTCTGAATTTTACTTTTTATTCTCAGACTACTAAAGGTCGGTATATGTGGTCATGTGGGTTTCAAACTAAACATCCAGTTGAATTAGTGTTTCATCTGCCCAGTGGTGACGCTACCAACCTTGAATCTCATGGACTATCAAAAATCTCTGTCTGGAATTATAACAGAGGTATCAAGGTTAGTCACTGGGAAGCTCGTTCTGAACATTGTGTTACTTGTAGTTCTGCACAACATCACAACATGCACTGTTATTGTTTCATCGTAATTGACTTACATGTATGGAAAAAATTGTGATTTCCCTGGCGTCTATAGTGACAGATAAAAAGACAAAAACAGGTGCAAGACAAGAAGTTATTACGTTAAACACTTTCTCGCGCATAAGGTTAAGAAAAAGCTAACCATGTGGGAGGAAAAGCTAACCGTTAACTTAGTTACTTAGAACCCTTTCAACACTGCTGATGTAGCAGTAAACAGGCCGCTTGTGACATATGAACAGCTATGTGCAGTGGCTCACAATCGTGGCAAAACGTACGGAGACAATTTGTTCAAGCATACGATAGCTGTCCTCAAATCTTATTGCTAGACTGAAGGAGACGCCTTTCTCACCTCTCTCTTGCTAACGTTTTACTGAGTTTATCACCAAAATATGTATTCAAAGAGAGAAAAGGGGGACAGGAAATAAAAGGACAATATATGAACCTAGATTGGAAAAAGTACACTTTGCTTAATTGTCTCAGACAAAAGTTTTGTTTGAATGTGGCCCGCTTCTGAGTTCTCTGTAGTTTAGTGGTACATGTAGAGCACGTATAATCCAAAGGTCTGAGGTTCAGTTCCTCGTAACTTTTCCTTATCTTGGAAATGATTGAACCTATCTCGAAATCGTAAGAACCTCAAATGACTTCAATCCATGTATTGGATTTATCATTTGCCATTCCTATTATATTACTACTGCCCTTTCTTAGAGTTTTTCCTTCTTAAGAGTTTTACGTATTTATTAACTTTTTTAAGGAACTAAATGTCGGAGTTAGAGATGTGAGAATTTTCGTCGGAGGGGACCTTGTATGGGAAGGAGTTATTGACAAAGTAAGTGAAGTTTTGTCTTACTTTTGAACGTTTTTAGCTAAACGTTATCTGCTGAGTATACATGTACTTGGATAGCTGAAAAAGATAGTGTGTGATTGAACTGAACTTTCTATTATTTCAGGGGTGTGGTAATCCTGTGTTTGATTACTGCAAAGTTATTAATCTCATCCACACAAACGAACAATCGGAAGGAAGCAAGGAACAGGCACAGGTGAATTTATGAGCATAGTTAGTTTTAATGCAATTGCAATCTATTTTGTAGATCGAAGTGAAGAGACATGTTGAAACTATCATCTTAGACAAATCTGTGATCGTATTTCCTCGAGGTTACAACATTGTTTCACGCAAACCATCTGGTTAAGGGTACTTCCCCTTCTGCTTCAAAGCTAGATTTATGTAAACAATTCTGTTTGAGATTGTTGGTCCATGACGCACCTCGCTAAATTTTTGTCTCCGTTTTGATTTTGTGAGAAATTTGTAAACACTATGATAAAATTTACAAGTGCATTCAGGTTCAAGACGTTTACTTTTGCTTGCAAAAAAAGACCATGAGGGTTAACCTGTTGGGTGCGCTAAAACGAGTGGGCCATGATCACTTTTCTAGTTGACTGTTGCTCTTAAATTTAATATACTCTGCTTATGGCTTATGTAGGATCCAGAGCCTATAATTCGAAGTGAAACTGTGGTATTGAGAAGATCTGTCGATGGACAGAAAGAGGAGAACGAAGAGATGAGCGCTGCTGTTGAGTGTGATAAAAGTTCTGAACAGGATGTGAGCAGATGCAAAACGGTGTTGTTAAAATCGTCAGCTGAGGAAGATCCACAAAGAAAAGAGCGTGATATTAAGGATAATAGTGTCGAGCAATATAAAAATGAAAGGTAATGCACATTCGCTCTGTCAGTTTCTATAGTACTCCTTGACAAATATGTTTCCGTGCCTCTGGTAAGAACAAAAGAGAGGCATACGAGGCGAAGCCAACTTGAAGAATCTATCGTACTTGTTGTTATTGCAGACTGGGGTCGTTCAGTCGAGAAATCAACTAAGCTCTCTAAGGCACGGCATTCATGTAAAGCAGCAATATAGTGTAGTTTATAGTGTAATTAATATGAAATAATAAATAAAATAAGATTACTTGCTCCGATATGCTTTTTCTTTAGACATGCTAAAGATGGCAAACAATCTAAAGAACATGAAATGATACCAAAACCCCCAGAGTCTCCCAGGATGCACCTAAAATCCCCAAGACCACATCGACAGGAAAAGTCAGCAGAAGAAAGTAAGGCAGGCCAACTACAACAAGGACAAGACAGGTAAGAAGGTTTAGGTTACTATACTTTGTTGAAGGTTAAGGACTTGCTGCTCTGTTGTTGCATCTCTCACTTGTGGTCAGTACAAAATCTACCAGGTTTGCATTAGCTCTTGTATTGCCCTGTCCCGAATGATGCGTTTTTGTGCTAAAATGCAAACCTATTGATGCTTTTGCGCGTGTCATCCACCGTAAAATTCACGGAAACGCTAATGAACCAGAGATTTTTAAAATGATCTGAAAAATAGGGCCTTCGGAAACACGTCATTTTTCAAAATATTCCGTTTCTAGTATTTCTCGTATTGATATGATGAAAAAAGGGCCACCTAATGGTCGTTTCTTTCGGCATTGTGTGGCGTGCTTTTATAGACCGTAGGGGAAACGCATTTAAACGATGCGTTTTAAATGGACACAGCGCATTGGTGTAGACATATTGAAAACAAAACGAAGACGTCGGTGTGGGAAAACGGATACGTTGAAACGCATAAACACTTTACAACTAACTAGTATGGACCAAAGGACCAAAATTCCTCTGGTGTAAATATCTCCAAGGTAATTGCTGCAGACCTCGTTATTTTGACTGAATATGCGCTGCAATAGCATGCAATTAAAAATGTTCGTATCGATAACATAACAACCAAACGACCGCCATTACATAGAATCACGGTGGTGATCTAAAGGGCGGTGAAAAACTGGCGAACAGGGAACCCAGCTAATATGACGTACTCGTGCATGTATATCTTGTGGTCAAGTTTTATTTTATTTTTATTTTATTTTTATTTTATTTGTATTTTATTTTCCTGTGTCATTATTATTAAGAAGCACTAGGGATAAAATTGAACCAATAGCATGTGCATTTTGTGTGCAAGTCAATTATACAAGGAGCAATTCTCTGTGCCGGCATATCGTCCATGTGAGATCACACTGAGATATAGATAACAAATAATTTAGTTAGGAAGTGGGTATTAAAACAATCATTGTTTCGGCATCTAGAACTAAGGAGAAAGCCCTGAGGTCTCTGTTAGCTGCCGACTTGACATCAAGCAATAAAAAACTTGAGGAGCAATCTCTGGTTACTAGGTAAATAGTCGTGTTTTCTTTATTATGATACAATTGATATTCATAAAAAGGTCTCCCCCCATAAGGAGAAGACTTTGCTTTTAAGGGAGGGGTGACTCACAAAAGAGATGATAAAGACGGGGATTGGGTTGTGTGCGTAAGGGAGTTCCACAAGAGCAAACCTGCGCTGCTATTTTTACCAAAGTTTGCGTAGTGTGTATGTGTATATATATATGTGTGTGTGTGTGTTTTTGTTTTAACCATATGGAAACGGGATACCCCCTTACTCGTGTAGGAGCAAGAGGCAAGAGCACCTTATTTTTCTGCAACTTTGATTTCGATCTTGGATTTTCTTCTGCCGTTAGGTCAAGTTCCACTCCAAATCTTTCATCCTCAGAAGCTCTTGGGAGCTCGGATGTGAACAGTGATTCTCTAAGGTAAGTTGAAAGACCCACTTAAAGTATTTGATACACACTCTTTTAACCTTTTAATCCCAAGGAGTGACCATTATCTAATTTCTCCTTACTATATCACCCCTGGATCAAACATTAAGATCACGAGCATAAGGGAAACGATCACCGACTAAAGAAGCTCTTTATTGTTTGATGAATTTTCTTGTAAGTGACTTTCTTTTTTCCTTTCTTTTTTTTGGAAGAGGAAATTCTGTGGCTGGCTCTGTGTTACCAAACAAGCCACCATGGTTAGAATCAAGCAAGAAGAAAGACAAATCTGGGTAAGACCAAAAGACGAGTAATTTTTTGTAACTAGCTTGCTACTAGAGGTTACTCTCTAGTTTCGACTGTAACCTGTGGGTACGTCCATCTCTATAGCACCGTATCAGCCTAATTTGTTTCCTATTCACCCACAGTTCTTCCTCCCGTTCATCCTCAAGATCAAAATCCAGACCCATATGGCTTGAGAATGAACCAGGTTAGTGAATGATTGATAATTTCAGCCAGATTTTTGTTTGGGTAATAACATAATTTCTCGCGTAATTTGGTGCAAATAAGCACAAGGTCGTAGGGCGAGTGCATTTTGTGGTTTTGAAAAATTTTGAGGTGCTTATTTGCACCAAATTGCACGAGAAATCATGTTGTTACTTTTAAATAATTTACATGCAAAAATCATCACAAAAAGACAAGACAGGCGAAGTTTTGACAGCGCGATGGTGCTATTTGTAATTTGTAATTTGCACTAGTGTGGCAACTTTGCACTCGTTACATGAAAAATCGTTTCAGCCAATCAGAAGCGCGTAATTTTTTTTATGTGTTATTACACAAGATATTCAGCTGTATGAAATTATTATTTTAGCCCGTGTCAGAAAATTTTAGTTACTTAATTAATACCATCAGGTTTCGGCTTTCTCCCAGAACCTCCGTGACCATTGTCCTGCGGATTGGGGTGGAGGGTTTAAGAGTAATGCAAACCGGAACCCGAGTTTCCTATCTGGTTTGATAACAGCACATGTGCAAAGACTTTTTTGGATTCAGCAGCAAAAAAGCGATGATTTTTTACCAAAATCGTTTTTTTTGGACGTCGAAACAACGTTTCGCCATACATTTTTTTACCGAATCAAAACTGTTTTTTTTGAAAGCACCGGACGTGGCGCCGTAAACAACGTTAAAAAAAAATCGCCAATATTGATCTCAAAGTACCGGACGTGGAATGGCAAACGACCGGACGAAACGTCCGGCCTCCGGCCTCAAATGAAAACCCTGCCGAATTGCAATGTTTGCCCTGTGGCGATCCCGGAAATCGTGGCGCAAACAAAAGGATCCGATTACTGGCAACTCGTTCATTCAGGTTTTTCCTGTACTGTGGAACAATAGAATTACTTTGTGGATCGATGAATGATAGGAGTAGCCTTAAGAATTGGCGAAAAAGTAGATGTAAAAATTTTCACAGGTGTTGATCCAGGAAGAAGTAACAGTTTGACAGATGTCCGACAAGCATCAGATGATCTTTTCAAGAGTGAGAAGCCTCATTCCAGACCATCAAGTGGACGTAGATCCAGCACTCCTGGAGCCAGTGTTAAGTCGGAGTCATGGCCCAGTGAATTTCTTGACAAGTAAGTATGCAACCGCAACCACAACATCATCAGTGTAATTTTCACGGCCAGTTGCTGCAAGCGTTTCTGTAGTAATAAAGCGCTCTCGTAGCCCTGCGTTTACACTTAGATCGGTAAAAGGACCATATTCACCGTCCTTTTGTGAATACTTAACCAATAAGAGAAATTTCCTAATGAGTGACGTCAGCTGTACAGAGACACATCGGATTTACTTTTCTTTACTCAAAGAGTGGTTCGGGAAAGTTACACGGTGCTTTTAAGTAATCAGATGCAAAATCCTTACTTATGCTGGTAAACTTTTAAAAAGTTACACATAACCATGTTTCTTCACAGGGATGAATGTCTTCCGACTTGTTTGGATGGAAAGGCTGGTCAACTGGTAAGTATGACTATTATGAGTGCTATCTACAATGTAATCTATCTTGTAGTAAACCGACCAAACTGTGCTACGTCAACATTTAATATGCGTCGATTGTAGAGTACTGTGCACAACAAGAGTCTTCGACATACATACATACATACATGTATAAGCTTTATTTATCCTCGGATTTCAGTGTAGCTTACAAGCTAGTATCTCCGATCCTAATTACTAATTTTTAAAAGTTACAGCAAGAACAAGGCTAAAAGAGAAAAAAAATAATAATATAATAATATAATAATAATATAATAATAATCATTAATATAATAATATAATGTAATATTAATGTAATATTAACAGAAACCGTGCACTAATAGTTTGCGCTTAAATTCACTATAATCTACAGTCTTTCTAAAGTGGCCAGCGAGGGAGTTCCAGTACTCAACAGATGAATAGCTAAAAGAATTTAGACCATATGTGGTTGTAAACGGCTTAGGAAGTGATAAAATATTGGTGCCCCTTAAGGAGTAAGCAGTAGATCTTAGCTTGATCAGTTGTTTCAAATAGCACGGATATTTACCAAGATGGAGACAGTTGAATATACAAATCATCATATATTGTATCCTCCTGTTGGCTAAACCACACACACCTGCCTTGTCTAAAAGATCATCATAGTTCGAGTCCCAGTCCTTTAAAACAAATCTTAAAATACGTCTATTTAAGGTGTCCAGTTTAACAGAGTCCTCTGAATTACAAAAGTGCCATATCATTGAACAATAGTGAAAATGGGATAACATAAACGTTTTATAAAGGCGAAACATAATTTCGGTAGAAATAAGTTTGCCAAATCTTTTGAAGACACTGAACTGATTATTTATTTTTTTTTACATACAGAGGATATGTGATTCTTGAAATTAAGTTCATTATCAAGAATTATTCCAAAAAGTTCCAGGCATCTTGTGGTTGAGAAGGAGAAAGGGTAATCGGTTTTGCCAAGAACCATCCCTTGGTGTTTAGCGGGGTTGGCTTTCATCCCATTGTCTTCGAACCATTTGTTTGCTATTTGTACATCATGATTGATCCGCTGTTCCAAGGCTACTGGGTCTACGTCAGATGTGTGCAGTTGGCAGTCATCAGCATAAGTGTTTAGTTTTACAGACTTAATGTGAAAGATGAGGTCATTGAGGAACATGTTGAAAAACTAAGGGATGATTCATGGACGGCACATGTTTTTTATATGCAAGTCGTTTGCTCAACAATATTGCGGCTTTATTTGTATAGGAAGGAAAAGGTCGCACTGGCTCGGGAAGAAGAAAAGATGAGGATAAAGTGTGTAGTGATGTCGGAACAGAAGAGACGGGTGCACAACATGATGCAAAGCAAGCACGAGCCACGTGGAGAAGGTAATTTTGAAAATAGTAATCAAACCTTTTCCATGTGATGTTTTGAAGTGATATACTCCGGGAAAAGAGGTCCGAAGTCGACGATAGTGTTATTTTATCGAGCAAGTTAAGTCACTCTTACATTTCCTCCCTCCACCTGAAGCATAAAAGTGGTTGGGCAAACCGAAGGGATACAGGAAGAAAAGCTGAGGGTAACCTGCGTGGGACTAGCATCTTATCTAGGAGGAGCTACAATTTTCTTAGTAGCGTCATGCTTCGGAGACCGGGCTAAGCTCTCGTGTAAAGGACCACTCGACTCAAAAGCATCTTGCGAGTTATCGAGTGCAATTTCTGATTTAGTCACCCAGATCACATGCTTGTGTTATGACGCCTTAGAACATAATTCTCTTGGCACTTACCTTTAATCAATTTTAACTTGTTTTTCTTTACCTTTTATCACAGAGAGCAGAATTTGAGTTTAGAGGAATCGTGGAGTTTATTGTCTTTGTTTGAGAAATCACACAGAGGGCGGATAACAAAGGATCTTGATCTGGAAAATCATGGTAAGTTGTTTCGTGTGCGCAGTCAGTCCAGAAGCTAAATAACGAGTTTACTTACCTCGACTATTTTGTATAGACAATAGCGGCTTTCGCTGAGTTAATAGGGGAGGTGTCGGGGATGGAAATGTACCGTTCCTGTGTTGGGTGATGTGGGATTTTTTAAATATCTTTCGTCATTGTTTTTTTCAGGTGATGCTCTAGATGAGATGTTATCAAAAAGAGAAGAACACATTCAGCCAATAACAGAACAGTCTAAGGAGATCGATGAGAGGTACTTCAGTATAATGTAAAGATTGAATTCCCAATCTCTAATAGGATGGGAAGTTTGGTCTAAGTTGTGTGTTGTTGGAGAAGACTAACTTTTTAATGCGGACTTAATGTCAGCTAAAAGTTAGTTGTGCGGATGAAGTAAATTTTGAAGAACGTTCGTTTCGAGCCCTTGGCTGGCGTTGGTGCAAATCTGCGAAGAGTTTTCCTTAATCGCTGACACAGGCGACATTATCTCTGGCAATTAATAACTGCTTACATCGGGTGTGAAGCTGAGGATCGTTTACAGTTGTAAAGTAACTTGGACGCGTTAGAACTCTAAGTTCGTGAGCGTGTCTTAGCTAGGTTATGGCAGGTTTGAATCTGTTTGTTTCGGCACCGTTTATTTGGACGATTAAATGCACTAATGGGTGTAAGAACTTAACATGTTTTCGTTTTGAGCAAAAATAAAACAATACGTAGTGTTCAAAGTGTTCGTAGTCAATTCATGCAGTTTTCCTTAATTTTGGAATTTGAGTTGATTTTTCTTTATATATTGATCATAATTACTCTAATGGTTATTTCCTCAGTGGTTTGACCGATTTAGAGATTCCAACACTTCCCAGAGGAAAGCAGTTAGTGATCTACATCAAGAACACCTGGGGAGACAGAAACTACGTAGGACTCAATGGAATTGAGGTGTTCACAGATTGTGGTAAACCTGCAGAGATTATAGAGGTTAGTGATTGTGAGACTGGCAAACTAAGTATTTGTTCCCTCTGTGAGTAATGGTACTAGGTTTTAGTGACAGGCGATTCAGGAAACAATGTTTTCTTTTAAAAGCATGACTTGTTGAATTACAAACATCAGCTACTGTATTGAGCTTTCTAAATCAATGGTTTGAAAGCTGTTTTTAGATATCCAAGGAAACCGTAGTATTCTGACTACTTATTTTCATTCGGTTTTGTTCCCAAGCTAAAGTCGAAAAGTTTTATTATTCGCAGTATTTTCTTGAAATTGATTGATTAGCTTTGATAAGTTAGCTGAATCTCATTGGCTAAATACATATTCCACTTGAATTTCCCTGGTTGTTCAATAATCCGATGTAAACTGCTTGATTAAAAGCCGCTTGCAATCGGTCAGACTGAAGCGGTTTGTTGGTCCTGTAGTAGACAATAAAGCCATGAAAATGTGGATTAGGAGCCAGCCAGATTCGAAGTGTTTGTTATCATTACAATTAAAGATTTTGACGCGGTAGAGGTACAACTATACATGTTTACTTTGCAAGATATGCAAAATTATGATCGATTTTTCAGGTCTCGGCGGATCCTCCAGATATTAACATCCTTCCTGAGTATGGTAATGATCCAAGAATAGTGACCAATCTCATTGATGGGGTTTTTCGCACCAGGTAAAATGTTACTCTTCTCAACAACTTACGCGATTGTGTGTTTGTACCTGCTAACAGGAGATGTGATGGATGACTTATCGCATTATTACATTTTATTGAAAGGGATGATATGCATCTTTGGCTGGCTCCGTTCACACCTGGAGGAAAACATAGTATCAGTATTACGTTTGCTGAAAGCACAAGGATCGCCATGATAAGAATATGGGTAAGCTCTTCATACGTTACAGGGTTTCGTCATAAAAATCTGTTGCTCAGTTTCACTGGCAGTATTTTCATAGCCTACGAGCAGCCCTCATTAATAGCGCTGCAGGACGCGCGTTTCTCCATGGAGGGAAGAATTGAAACGAATCGGGGAGAGGTTTACCGGGGGTTTGGCCTCATTAATAGAAGACTTAAGCAGAGACGTTTTTGTGAAGCGGACGGCAACCGGAAGGAGAATAAAACTAACTCTGACGCGCTTTAACGTTAATACATCGACTGTAAGTTCTGCGTTTTTGCATTTTGAACTAAACTGTACTGACCAAAAAGGTGTATTTAACAGCTGGAATAAGAGCTCTTAACTTGCGGCTGTCGTCACCAAAAAGGTGTACTGAACAGCAGGAATAAGAACTGTTAACTTCCGGCTGCCGTTTGCTCATCAAAAAACGCTGGTGCTTAAGCTCCTTGTTATCAGTCCCAGACCCATTGCAGACCCTCCCCGGCTTGCGTTGCTGCAGGCCCCATACGTTCCCTCGGGCAAAAGGAAAGTGCATACTGATTGGCTAACAATGAACGCCTGTTCGTAGGCAAGAATATTTTTGATCCCGGATATTTCTGTCTACATAGAAAGGTTTAGATGTCCAGGGCATAGACGAAAGTTTTCTCTAGTGGATAGTATTCCTTCTACTTGTGCATTGTAATCTGGCTAGAACATGAAATGAATTTTCAATTTTTTTCCTTCCAGAATTACAACAAATCGAGAATTCACTCCTTCAGAGGAGTACGATGTATTGATATGACCCTGGATGGGAGCCTGATATTTCAGGGAGAAATCGCACGGTATTGTGTGCTCTTCGTTTGTGTATAACTATTTGTGTGTTAACAGTTGAGACTTGTCTAGGTTTGTCTATTTCGTGTGACAAGAGGCAGAAACAAAACATAAACACAGATCTGTTGATGATTACGTTGTCTGTGACTGAGTTACAACGACCCCGATTTGTTCTTTGTAGTTTGTTGCATCCTTCTATCCCTTCTTTCAGGGCAATTTTTTGCTGTGTGTCGAACGTTCCTCGATTATTTTGGATTTGTTTTAAGACACTTACCCGCTCAGTAATTCAGAAGCACAGGTTAACCTATCGCGATTTGGTCACTGACAAACTTCCCTGCTTTACACAGTCCGTTTTTGTGAGCTCCCTTTAATAGTTACCTTTTTCCGGATTGGCCGTTGAGGTGACTTTGATCTCGATTTTACGACCATTGGAAAAAAAGTTGTCTTTTTTGGTAACCTTGAGTGCGCTCTTTTAAACTGCAGAGCCAGTGGTGTCCTTGGAGCTAATTATGCCTTTGGCGACGTAAGTAACCAATTAGCTGGTATAAAAACAACTGTTTCAAAAGGCTTTTAGTCTTTAGTTTTCTTGTATTGGTTCTATTTCGACGGGTCTATTTTGATATTGGAAAATACAAAAAGCCGTATTACTTACATTGTTGGGATAGTTAATCATTTGGAAAGGCATACTTTTCAGTTGCTTTGAGTTGCTCGAGTAAAGTAACTCTTCAAGCAGTTTCTCGAGTTGTCGATGATCCAAGTTTATGACGTTGTCACCTCTGAGCGAGTTACCTGCCTGACAATAGTAGCTTTTCATCACAGTCAAAATTCTCTTAATGGGTTGCTGTTATTCCTTACATACAGGGTGTTACGGAACCCATCAAGAGCATTTGAATAGCCACAACGTTAAAGTTGCTCAAAAACCTTTTCAGACCTTGAGGCATATTTTCGCCAAACTTAAGGATCCTGTCACGAAAGAACAACGAACCGACGCTATTTATTCTATTCCTTACAATGACTGTGACAACGAATACATCGGACAGACCAAACGTCAGTTTGGTTAAAAGAGCACCAAAAAGCGGTTTTTCTTTGCAAAAAGGAAAATTCAGCTTTATCGGAGCATACATGCCTAACCAACCATACAATTGGGTGGGATAATTTTAAAATTGTCACCACTAATCGGCGTTACCACCAGCGCCTTTGTTTGGAGGCTTGGCATATTAACTCCGCCCACGCTCCTTTAAATCGTGACGATGGCGGTTTGCTTCCTGACGCCTATTTACACCTCGTCAGAAAGAAGGCCGCCAATTAGTGATCATCTAAAAGGACCTCTTGTTGCAGCGTTCAGATCACCCCTGATGAAGGCACTAGACAGGAGTGTCGAAACGTTGGGTCTATGAATTGTAACTTCTTCAGTTACATTCATTAAATCTGCAAACCAGAGTAGCATCAAACTACGTCTGAGAATCCTAAGTACTACTTCTCAGTAGATGTACTACCCTCCTCCTAAACTTCAGGTAGTTGTGTTCTGTAATCACTCTCTGTGCCATTTCACAGACAATTATGTTCACTATGGATGAAGACATACTAGAAGCCATGGCTCAGTATGACCAGACGTATGAAGGAGACGAGGAAGACGAAGACGAATTACTAAGGAGCTGTTACTTTGAACGGCCGTCCACTGCTGATCAGGCAGAGGAAGGGGTTAGACATGCACTATTGATTAGATCTGTTGTCATGTAGTCCGATGTGTTGAGCTCCCCACGTCTGTCTGCGGACAAAAGAAACTCCCTCCAGAAAGAAGCCTTATGTATGAACGATATAATTATTTTCACGTTTGTGGCTTCTTGATTATATGAAAAAGGCTGCGCTTACAATTAAAGAAATTGTTTAGGTGAAGAGATGTTGTATTTTTTTAATCAGTCGCGATAAAATAATGATGTTCACCACCCCATTCCCCTGCATAAAAATTTATCGTTGGAATATAAGATATAAGTCCTCTACCTCACTTACTTTGCTTATGCACCTTGAACTGAAACGGCTGTTTATATTAATCTCTGTGTTTCTCTGTTTCTGAAAGACAAGTGGAGATCGACCGCTTACGTCGGCCAAACAGCATATAAAGAAATCAGAACCCGCTTCAGAATTTATTTCTGGAGGTTAGTCGTCTCATAACTTTTTATACATTGTCTACAACTTTGGTTAATCCAAAACATGCTTCTTTGAAATGATTCCTCTTCTAATTTTCTGAATTAACAGAAGATATACCAGACAGTTCTGCTGACTTCCTAGAGGGTCGAGGTATGTTTTAAAGTATAGTTAAAATGCTAGGAGTCTGTTTTTCTCTAGTTATGGACACACACGGGACGAAACAGATCGACATGACAGGGTGTGTAAACCCAGCACTTTCCCCTTGAAACGTCAATTAAACGCAAAAATCACTTGGGTGTTATTTCTGTTTTTGTTTTATTAGTTCTTCAGTTCAATTTTGTCTCGACGTGGGGAGATCCGTACTACATGGGACTCACTGGAATCGAACTTCTGGGACCTAATCAAGAATCCATTCCTCTTTCATACAGCATGTTGAAGGTAAGATACGATGCATTGTAAAGCAAGAGAAAGAACTGAAAGAGTGGAAGAATATAACGAGCTTCTTGGTACTTGAGTCATTGAAAAGACTGAGTGTTGGCGTCGGTTATATGAATGGATATAGCGAATTCGTCTGGAAAGGACTGAGCACTCATTCTTTTAATTTTGGTTACCCTCGCAACTTATAAACAAACAGTGGTAATTTGGTAAGGGGAACTAAGGTCGCGGTGGAAACGATCTTCCTTTAACATATAACTCAAATTGGCTACGCGAGAATCGATCAATACTTTGACAAATAGATATATTGTTTCTAGTCTAAAGTGGCTGTTAACGTATTGAAATGACAACTAATATTGAATTTGGCAGGAATAAGAGGACGCCTTTTTGACCAGTCGTCCTGAAGTCTGAAAAATTTTTTAATTTTAGTTTCTAATAAGAATAGGAAACTCGAGAAAATATTTATTTGGATGGGTCATTGGGTTGTCCTTTTTATGACCAAAACTTCCTTGCTGGATTGAGAACACCGGGATAACTTGATTCTTTTCTACAAAGAAGAACGCGAGAATTAGTTCCTATTGTACATAAGTCAAAGTGCTTGTGTCTAAAAATTGGTGTTCAAATAGTTTTTTTCCCAATTTATCTCACAAGGCGTCTCCAAGAGATCTAAATGACCTTCCTGAATATGAAGATGACGATAGAACTCTTGATAAGTAAGTACTCGGGTCCATTTGTTGACGCCTTTGAATACAAGCTGGTTTAGTGTCACCTTAGTGACTTGGTTATAAGCTTTACCTCTGCTTTTATTTAATTATTTTTACTGGATTGCTCCAGTATCACAACTTAAAACTCCGTGGATATACTTCTTGAGTACTAAATGGCATCCCGGTTCATATAAGTCTGGGAACGGAATTATCTTGGTTTTTTTTTTTCAGTACCTTCGTCATGATTAAAGTTTTGATTGTTGCCCCAACAGATTGATAAATGGAACAAACGTGACAATGAGTGATGAACACATGTGGCTGATACCATTCACTGATGGACAAGATCATCTTCTGACAATCGACTTGGGACACACCACCCCTTTGGTGGGATTCAGAGTTTGGAACTACAACAAATCCACAGATGATTCCTTCAGAGGGTATGTATTTCATTGACAAACAAATTCGATGAAATCTGTTAAGTGCACTCCAACTTCTGAAAAGCAAGTGGAGCAACCTTTGCACAAAGATATGCAGCTGGAACAGGAATACGGATGATAGGAGCCACGTGGAAAGTCAAGTGTCTCTCTATACCAAATTTTTTTTAATCTCATGAAGTCTGTGATTGCTATTTTGTAACTTTATTGCACCGTTATTGTCCACAGGCCAAACAAGTTCACGTTAAGCTCGATGATAGGAATATTTCACCACCTGAGGGATTTCTCTTGAGAAAAGGTGAACCAATTTTCTAATATGGAACACATTTCCACAATATTTATGGCGCTCTTTCGTCGAAAATCTTTATATTTTAATTACATTTGTTTTGCAGGGCCGGGTAATATGCATTTCGATCATGGGCAGGATGTTTTCTTTATTAAAACGACAAGAGGATATGCAGCGCATGGTACTTCGACCAAGGACGTGGAACGCAGGTGCAGTTATAGTTTCTTTGCTACTCTAAAGGAATCTGCTTTTTTGACGGTGTGAAAGTAACGAGGCGTAATGCATTGTTAAGTGTCTATTTCCGACGTTTACTGTTCGCTGGTCAGTTGTTGTAGTTGTTTCAGATCGTGTGCAGTAAATAGTTGTTTTTCACCTTCGTCATTCCTACTGATTCAGTTGAAATGATGCCACTGTTTTTCTCTAGCAAGGTTATCTAGTAAAAGGGTGTAATTAACCACTGACGCCAAAGCTTACCGACAGTGACCTCATACTCTTTCGAAAGATTGACTACTATTCGTCATATGCGCCGAAGGTTTAACCCAAACTGAAACTTATCGACGTCAAAGCTTCCGGCAGTGACCTCATGCTCTTTTGAAAGATCGATAACTATTCGTTATATGCACCGAAGTTTTAACCCAAACTAAAACTTATCGAAGCAAGATAAGCGGGATACACAGTCATTACTTGATATCGAAGCGTTGTTATTTACGTTCAATGTGTTTCCTATTTTGTGATCTTACTCTGATTTATTCTGTCTTTAGATCTGAAAGCAGGGTGAATTTGAAAAAGCTTATGCCAGACTATGAACCAACGTTAATTCCTTGTGGCTGTATCCTTCTAATACATAGACTGATGAAACAATAAGTAATTACAAACAATACATTGACAATTTTCTCCGTTAACTTAAGCAAACGTGTTTGTCAGTATAATGGCATTTTCTCTATATCATTAGCTTCAAACCAGGAGACTTTTTGTCAGTAACAGTTACCATTTAAAATTGTGTCTTCCTTTGTGCGGTTTTGTTTCAATCAGGCAGATTTGAGACAAATTTGCGCTCATCTTCCACAAAGTGAAACATCTTCGAAATGTCTCAATGCTCAACTGTTAGGTAAATTAATTATTTTTTACTTAAGTGCAGTTTTTACTGTTCAGTTTTCTGAAAGTGCAACAATGACGGAAACGTTTTAATATCATAAGCCACTTCGCTGCCCCTAGTAAGAATTGAGTGAACATGGACCTTTTTTCCGGTAAAATACAATTTTGTCTTAATATTAAGAGGACAAAATAGATTACTGCCTGTGAATTACTTTTCCTTCACTTGTTACCAGTCGTATTTCAGTTTCAACTGTTTTCCACCTGGGGAGATCCTTACTACGTCGGTCTTAACGGCCTTGAATTTTACGATGAAAATGGCTACAGACTACGCCTTACGGAAAACAACATAACCGCGCATCCTCACAGTGTGAACGTTTTACCAGGAGTGGTAGATGATATAAGAACTCCTGACAAGTTGATAGACGGTGTGAATGACACTTACGATGGACGGCACATGTGGTTGGCTCCCATCTTACCGGGATTGGTGAGGACCGTTTGTGTTAGTAGTTAAGTGAGAACTCCCGACGTAGATACATGCATGTGAACGTGACTTCATTGCGTGAAATCCCGTGTGGCAAAGTCGCGAACTGGCTTTATTTTTGCGTCCCATTATAAAGAACGTGGCACGAGTTTCTATTTACAGAGCGACCTGAAGCCAAATAAATGCAGTTGGGGAATGTTTTCGACAGCTTACAGCATGCATATTTTTTTGTTAAATGATTCCGAAACGATACTCAACAAAAAAAAAAAAAACTTGTTAGGAAAATACGATGCTCATCGTGATGATTCTCTGAGATCATGTGTATATACTCTACACTTAGCTTTTAAAAAGTTTTAGTTTTCTGATCGTCGTTTTCAGATCAATTTGATTTATGTGGTGTTCGATGAGCCCGTAACAGTTTCCACGGTAAAAGTTTGGAATTACAGCAAAACACCCATCCGAGGAGTTCAGCAGTTTGGGGTAAGACTTGTAATAACACTCTAAGAATATGAGTGTCATTCCAATTATGGTTTGAAAAAATTTCCTTTCCCTAGTCGTGGACAGTCCATGGACAGTTGCTCGCTGTTACCCATTACCAAGGAATGGAACTAACAGCAAAATGTATCGCTTAAGATGCATTTGTTCAGAAATTTTGACCGAGGAAGAATAATGACACAAATAACTTTGGTCATTTGTCCCAGCTTTGGCTTTTTCAGGGTTCCGAGGGTCGTTGGAGAGGCTGGGAAAGTCAAGAATTTCCGTTTTCTTACTTTAAGATCAGAAAATGTATGAATGAGATGTGGGTAATAGAAAGTCATGGACATGGACTAAAATGTTGGGAGGAGGGAACAAAATACTGGGTCGTGGAAGTCGTAAAAATGTAACAGGTCAAGTTATAGAATTGTAGAAACTCCAAAGAATACGAATACCCCGTTTTTTGTACACATTGTTTCAGTTTTGGGAAATACTATTCGCCTGGTCATACGCTGCTAGGAATCTTAAAATCCCTGTCATATGAGCTTGATCTGAATTTGACGTTGTTGTTTTGTTAGCTGTAGGTCGATGACTTTTTAGTGTATCATGGTATCTTACCACAAGTCCCGGCTGTAACCAAAGGAATTCTTGATCTGAATTTGTTGTTGTTGTTGTTTTGTTAGCTGCTAGTGGATGACTTGTTAGTGTATCATGGTATCCTACCACAAGTCCCGGCTGTAACCAAAGGAATTCTCCCCAACATAGACATGCCTACTCCACACCACACGATACTGTTCACTGATCACGAAGAGATCGCTCTTGCGGAACGCAAAAATGTTCTCAGGTGAGCCAGGTGAAACCTATTAGTGATCAGCGGTGTTCATGAAATAAACGCTACAGTTGGTATTATTCCCGTTGCAGAACTTGTTAGGATGATCAAAATATCATTGTCCTCGGTATCGTTTTAGGTGCTTGTTCCGACACTATAAGCACATAGAGCTGTACTTGTGTCTCTACTATCTCATTCCCAACAACAAAAACATCGATTAAGTACTGGGAAAATTTAATGGTGTATTTGTGAAGGAAATCAGTTAAACAAAAAACGCCCAACGAAACAGCAAAAAATGCCAAATAAAGGTAAATATGGGCAATTTGAAGACCAAGGGCGCACGCTTTGTCGTAAGAAAACAAATTCAACGTAACTTTCATTTTCTTTCAGAGAACAAAAGCGTTTATTGTAGTTGCATTGGTGCCATGAAGTTATTCATGTGCGAAGTACTTGTCTCTGTCAAGCACTTTTATGTGCCAAATCTTGAAAAGTCTCGCGACCGTTTTTTTGTCTGGTTTTATTTTAGCAACAAAGGAGGTGGACAAGATATCCAGCTGACAAATGATAAAAGAATTGTGTCTCACTATAGTGATCCAAAGTCAGCCGGCAAAGTCGCTGATCCTGGTACGTAACAGAGACGTAGACTGAAATAAAAAGGATGGTAAATTCAATGTGGGAAAACTTTCTTTCTAATTTAGAGCCAAGGTAATTCAGGTTAGCTCCAAAAGGGTTCTCCCACGGGTGTGGTCCTTTCATTAGTTATGTAAACTCTGTCCTCGAAAAAACCCTCTCTAGATCATCAGAGTTCTCTTGAGGTGCCTGATTTTGAATTGCGCTTGAATAAACTTTACCTGACTCTTTAGTATAGACATCTTCTCTAATGGTTCTAACAGAATTTAATTGCCTGTTTTGTAAAATTTAAATGTCTTGTACATCGGTACTGTTTCCTTTACATCTTCTTTTATATGCAGTAGCTGAGTGCTGTCTTGCTATATTTTCAGCTCTGCGACCTATGACAAGTGTTCCAGCTCTAAAGAAGAAAAGATAGACACTGCCACATGTTTCTATTCGTGACAACAGTAGCTTGAATTCGTGACAAACCTCCTGTCACGCTACCACAGGCCAAAAATACGCATGAAGTCGAGCATTAGATTTTCGACATCGCTTTTAAAAATGGAGTTAGCAAAGCGCGCCGAATTTCTGTTAAATCCCGCAGGATCCTCGCCTATGTCCATATAACACAGGGCGTATCTTTGAAAGACTTATGGTTGACCGTCACACTCTTCATCGTTGGGTATCCACAACAACTGTGTTTAATTGAGATCACTTGACAGACCTTTCACAGACATTATAGCTTGTAACAACTTCAAAGGAATTTTACCCGCGCAATTCCCTGCCTGCACTAAAAGTGCCTTTTTTCTCGAACGAACTTAGATTCACTTCCAGTCTTTGGATAAGAATCTCCCAGAAATAGATAGTTGAAATAAGTTATTTCTGAAATTAATATATACATACCTTATTTGCATAGCAGTGGTTGCTCTTAATAACTATCGTCGAGAAGATGAATTATCAAAGTGCCGTAACTTTTAAATGTACTTGTGAACGGAAATTGAATTCAGACAATTTAATTTAACGAAGGCACTCGGTAAGACCTCGTTAATGTCCAACTCTAGCCCTTTCGTGTGTTGGAGCAGTCGCTCAACTAAGTGGTGAGGGCGATTTGACGTCAAAGCAAGGATAAACAACAATAACTGCTCTTTCTCTTGCGTCTGTTTCTTTGTAAACTCCTCTCTAGCTCTTACCAAGCAATCTGAGAGCCGAAAAAGCTAAGGTTAAATCATAGTATATTTTCAAATATCCTATCCCTTTTTAACTCGTGAATTGCGCGCATGCGCAAGAGCGAGTTATAGATACGATGTGGGGAATGGCATTCGCTCGCTCGCTCGATTGGTCGATTCCTGTAAACTTTTTTTAGATTTTAGGCTTTTGAGTGCATTTGATAGTTTTTGGCGAGCAATAAACAGACGAAATGGCGACCTTTGTTGCTAAGAATAGTGGTGGGGTGAAAAAGAAGCCAATGATAATCCTAAAAGAGTCTTTTTTTTTCGTTTTAGTTTCAACAAGCGGCGCCAGCGACTGGCAGGCATGCAAGGATTCACACTGAAATAACAGAACAACCTTCGTTTTTCATAAAATTGTAATTTACAATCCTTGAACTTGAAAACAATCCGAAGATTCATTGAAAATATCACTTACTGCGAAGCGCTCGGAGTTTACAGGTGTTCAAAAGCTTTTTCTGTTATGGCGTGAGATTGAGGACAAAATTGATCATTACGTTTCGTCGCGTGTGTTTTTCCTGTGTGAAGCAACTAAAGATGCCGGCGACTGACGAAATAACAAATTAACACGAAAATCAAATAACACCTAAACAAACAATTTTAGCTACCGATTTTCAGTGAATTTTTAAAGAACAATTTTCTTTTTAAGTTTCAAAACAATTTGAAGATTCAACATACATACAACGTACTAAAATGCGAAAGTTACACACCACAAAATTGATAAATAGGCCTGAAATGAAATTCTATCTTGTTATTGATTATACGTTGCCGAGCACGTGACTTAAATCTACCCAGGCGGAGATCCAAAATGACGGTGGCAGGCTTGGCTTAGTTATATCACTCAAAACTCGTTCCCGTTTGTCTCATTTGATAAAGAGGGAATCGTTAATGTTTTCATTAAGACAGTATTGCCTTGATTTTCTAATATTTACAACGAAAGACAGTAAATTTCACTTTTCACCCACATTTACTTCCAACCTTTTCTTTTGAACCAGAAACAAAAATGATAGACGTTTAAAACACATGACATCATCCACCTTGTCAAATGTAATAGCATGATCCTTTCAATTGTAATGCCTTCTTATCCCAACGTTACTTTGTTTCTTTGCTACATTAGCGAACACTGAACTACTGCTCGTACTCTAGATATGACAATCAACCACAAAATTCATTAAACCAGATAACATTAAACATAATCTAAAAAATCATGTGTCAATTCACGAGTTTGCTCACAGAGCACTTTGATCTTCCCTTGCCCCTGAGACATGACTCTTTGCCATAGGGTCAGGGTTAGGGTTAAGTAGTTCATTCCCACTTGCTTTTTCCTTTTTGAACTACCTGTGAACACATGATGGCAGTTCTAACCTTACTTTCTTATTAATAACGGCGAATAAATGAAAACTGCTGTGAGACGATACCCCATTCATTGTTTTCCCAAAATAGCCTACCAGAGGTCAATGAAGCTTCATTTCGAGACAATTGCGAACATATTTACAGTTAAGGATTCACCAAGAATCTTGTGTGAATTGAGAGCAGAGAGACACTCCAGAAGACTAGTCCTGAATTAGTTTTAAAAAAATTCGAATTTAGGGGAGATCAAAGGAATGGATGATTTTTATTTAGTTGAGTTATCATATTAAGATCTTCCACTGAATACTTGAATTCCTTAGACCATCCGCGCTACATCTTCATTTCTAAACTCTATTTTCCCTTAATTTATTTAGCATCTACATACATCAGAAACAATATAAACTATTTCAATTCATTTCTCAGATTACAATACAGTACAATCAAGGTAGCATGGTACACTACACATTATCATCACTTGCGTTCTAGGAAATTGAACTATGAGAGTAAGTTAAAATTCTGTAAAACATCAAAATGAAATTACACTTCCACTGCTGTTACTCTAGTTACTTTCCTACTACTTGCAAGAGCTAGTAACCAATCAGATTCTGCGAAATACCAAGATCAATGAGTTAGTAAAAACTAAACTGATCAAGAGCCATACTTGTAGAAATGCAACAGCAAATGTAACAACCCATGTGAATGGATTCAAACGCATTTTCTTCAAATTATTAGGGCTGGACGTACAACCCAAAAGCCAAAGACTGATGAGCTCAAATAGAAAATGGCTACCGGGTAATAGAAAACGCTGATTAACTTAATGGCCAGGATAACAGCCGGTCAAATTCTCTAGGTACAACTCTTATAAGAAAAACTTAGTGAAGAAGATTCGAAAACTCCATTTTTATTACTAACGTGAATCCTTTTTTCCATAAAAAAGGGTTCGCTTATTATAACTTCCGGTTTCTTTTGTATTACTTTTTGAAAAATAGCCTTAAATTTGGATACTTTCCATTATCATTACCTATGGTACTATGCGCTATCTCAAGCTATTCTATGTGCTGTGACTCTTCCTTAACCTGGGAATCCAATCGTTCTGTTTGCTGTGACTGTTCCTTACTAGGATCACCAATCTTTCTCTTTGCTGTGACTCTTCCTTGACTTGAACCACCAAGTCATGTCGATGTGACTCTTCCTTGGGTCAGGCTCCCGATCTTTCCTGGGCCACCCATCGTTCTCTTCTCTGTGACTCTCCCTTGAGTTGGGATCCCCGTCGTTCTCTTCTCTGTGACTCTCCCTTGAGTTGGGCCCCCACTCTTTCTCTTGGTTGTGACTTTTCCTTGGCTTGGGCCACCCATCGTTCTCTTCTCTATGACTCTCCCTTGAGTTGGGCCCCCAATCTTTCTCTTGGTTGTGACTCTTCCCTGGCTTGGGCCACCAATCTTTCTCTTCGTTGTGACTCTCCCTTGACATGGGCCGCCCATCGTTCTCTTCGCCGTGACTTTCCCTTAAGTTAGGCCCCCAATCGTTCTCTTGACTCTGACTGTTCCTTAACTTGGGCCTCCAATCGTTCTGTTTGCTGTGACTGTTCCTAAACGTGGGGCTCCAATTGTTTTCTTTGCTGTGACTCTTATTCAACTTGGGCCTCCAATCGTTCTCTTTGCTGTGACTTTTCTTTACGTGGGCCTCCAATCGTTCTGTTTGCTGTGACTGTTCTTTAACTTGGGCCACCAATCTATCTGTTTGCTGTGACTGTTCCTTGGCTTGGGCCTCCAATCGTTCTGTTTGCTGTGACTGTTCCTTAAGTTGGGCCTCTAATCGTTCTATTTGCTGTACCTGTTCCCTAACTTGAGCCTCCAATCGTTCTCTTCGCTGTGACTCTTCCTTTACTTGGGCCACCAATCGTTCTGTTTGCTGTGACTGTTCCTTGACAAGGCTGACCAGATCATTAACCTGCAACCGATTGGCGTTGAGGCAATGGAGGGCTAGACTTAAGTGACGTTCAACTTGAGACCTTGTATGAGAACTGGTGTTTGATCGTGGAAACTAGAAAGATCAAGGTGAATTAAGCTCTTTTTTAAATCGAAGTAAATCTCAAATTCGTGCATTGAGGTGCATTAGTAGGCGTCTAAACCTAACCGTTTGCGCAGTGCTTAACCTACAGCACTAACTCTTTTCAACGATTAACTCTGGAAAGCTGGTTTACTAACTTAGAACAGCTCCGCTCAACGGGTGTCAACTACTAACGGCACCACGCAAACGATTTATTCGCCGACTTATTCGCTACATTAACATGACAAACGTTCCGAACAGAACTACCTAATTTTACCGATGGTTCAAAACCGACCAATTATGAGCGACCTACGCCACTTAAGTCTAAGAGACAATAACATCACGGCTAAACTGACCAATCAGTTTACGGCGAAGCATACCTAGTACATTCGACCGAAAGCAATTTCTCATTTCACTCTGATGATGACTTTGGCTCAGGTTATCTAAACCTCAGTCATTAATACCATCAACAGTCTTTCTCAGGACTACATTCACCCGCACGATGAGACTACACTATCAGAAGAGATGATTGGTCCTCTTGAAGTTTAATATTTTACACATGTTACCCCCGAGTTCAAACCATTTACTATATTGCTATGTAACTTGACTCTTTTGAACCATGGTAAGCAACCATAACCTGTGACACCTTTGATCGACAACGGTATCTAATTTTACGTCTTGTAAGCCTTTGCAAGATAACCTTTCTTATCACAGGCTTACTGCTCGTATTTTTCTTCGCCCTGTAAATATACTACGCATGGTATGGTATGGTTTACACTGAGAGAGAAATAATTTTTAGGCAAGTCCATACCATAGCATCGCATCCCAAGTTTCTGTATTCACAGTGGACTTCAGTTTCAGGACATTCATCGCGAATGTGAACCTCAAGCTATAAAAAAGGCAACAAAAAAATTATGAAACATTCGTCATGAACACTGACAATGAAAATGCAAGTTTCGGCATGGACGATTGCTTAACCTTTTGTCTTCCCTAATACTTCAGTTCTGGGAACACCAGATCGATCTATGATCTGCAACGATATGGTTCGCATATAAACATGTTAGAAATCTTTGTAGGTAAACCTAATATTCCACAGCCAATTATCGTTAATCCCAGCCTTAAAACTCAGATGGCCTCTACATGTTTAATTGGACGATTTTCGCAATATTTTGACTTCTCCTCTGAGAGACCGACTGAGGCACACTCAAGGTAAGCATTCTGTTTCTGATAGGAACCTTTTTGCCTGCTTATAATCGGTTTAAACAAACCTTTTCTCGTGGAATCGCTCTAGAGCCGCAGCTGTTGGTGCACGGAACAAGAAACTTTTGGCAAACTTCTAAATGGTTCTAAAGAACAAGGGAGAACATGTTTGAACATGCTTAAATATGATGGTGAAATTGGTTCTCAACGACAGCAGATAACTAAACGACAGTCGAGTCGTTTTTAATCATAATTTAGGATAAAGTTCAAGAGGCTTTCAACCCTCTCGCGACTCTCTCCTGAAATACATTAGATTTAATGAAAATTCTCATGAACTCATGAAATTTTTAGCAGAGAAACGACCAAATCAACTTTTCAAATCAAACAAAAAATATATCGTATCTTTTCACGTGTGTTGTTACGGCTTTTCTCAGGGCTGGAAATCCCTGTGTAACGCCGCAGTTTATATGATAAAAAACTTTTGAATGCAGGGAACCTTCGTAGCCATATTTTCACGCATCGCCCTCCACAAGAGTTTAATGGGAACAGTTACGTGACATCCCAAAGAATGGCTGCGAGGAAAAGGCGACCTCACAACCCAGAGTAAAAGTGTGGCTGGAACATTTTTTTTTTTCTGAGACGTTCTCATAGAAGAAGACTGTGTAATTATATCAGTTACGTAAAGGCTGGCACTACACTGGAAGAGAATTGCAGTTTTGATAGAAACACTGGCATATGGAAAGTACTCTTAGCAATATAATTGGGTCTAAGCAAATGTTCTTTTAAGTTCATTTGTTTATATGGATGTCTACATACCCGCTTTTCATGAAAGACGAATGATTCTTGGCAATGTTCACAGTTGATTGTCCTCCAAGAACATTCAGATGACGCGTGAACTTTCATGTCTTTCTTGGTAAGCTTCTCTGTACATCCTGAGTTTGAACATTGCACTTCTTTCAACAGACATTCTGAATGGTGTTCCTACAAATGTAAAAGACAGAGTTTTTATAGATACTTTATAATGGGAAATAAATAATTCCTTAAATCAACTAAAGGCTAAATAGAACAACCCCGCTAAATTTTAGTTTCGTTAGTTATGGTTAGCTTTAATTTCCGCGTCACGAATGAAGGGGATCGCTAATTGAATTTCCGCGGCCCTGTTACTGATTTCCTTTACTTTATTTCCGAAAAAAGTGCAAAAAAAACTGCATCGTTTTCAAATTTCTTTTTTTTAGCTTTTGAGCGTCAAAGTAAAAAAAAAAAACTTGTTTGCGCTATCTTAGAAAATCCTGGTTATTTGCATAAGTCACCTCAACGTTCCTCATCAACACCTCTTTCGCTTCAATTTCCTTTGTTCGGAAGTAAATCTGACACGCTTTCAGATCAAGTAAATGACCTTACTTACTGATAGCACGAACTGACATAAATCTCCTCAAATAAATGGAGCTAAAATGGCAAATTTTAAGGTACTTTTGAACAGAAGTCCGCCGGTTCGATCTTACTTCAATAGACTGAAATGTTAGAGTAGGATGAGTACACTGATTTTTGTTCAAGAAAAGTCACAAATGATTGGAATTTTTTGTTCCATATCAGACACATCAGTTATACCTCAACAGCACGCAGTTCTCCAGTCCATGAACATCCAAAGTGAGGACACTTCACGGTCAGATCCAGTATTTCGCGACGATGGGCAGAATCTGGAAATATCTGCCAGAATAAGAATTATTTCAAATTCATATCCGAGTAATCCATGTCCAAGTGTGATAAAACAAAGTAAGAGCGGCTGGTACTTTCAATGGGCCACAAATGGGCTCCTACTTTGGCCTTTGTTTCATCAGAAAACACCGTTATCCACTCTGAACTTGCGAACATTCATCTTAAAACATTTTCTCTTGTTTCTAATGCTCATGGAGCAAAAAAGTACACCATAAAATCATATTTTATGTACGTATCAGCTTTCCGGGCCGCTGATTCAATGTCGAGCGACAAAAAATTACGAAATTAGAAATCGCTATATTTTCACAACACAGAACCCCGCGACACTGAAACCTCTTCGAAAGATTAATTTTTAGGTTTTGTCTTTCGGAGGTAAAATTGTGATAGCCCTTCTTAGTTTGGATTTTAAATTTTTATGACGTCATGTGAAATCGGAGATGCTGGGGGCAACTGTAAAGTATCATACGATTGAACATGGCGATAAGCACAAAATACCAGTTTCAAAATGGCCGATACGTTTCGAAATATTTCAACCATTTGTACCAAATATATCAACTATGAAGATCGTTTTTGATAATTTACGGGGGGTTTCCTTTAAATGTGAGTGGATGTTACGGAGAGTTTCTTTGGAACAAACATTCCACTAGAAATGACGTGAAGCGATAATAGAACAAACAAGAGAAAACGAGAATTGCTTCAGGCTACCTGATTATCTCCCCACATATTACACGCGGTTGCGTGACTTGTTGATATAAAAACTCTTACCTTGTCACGCGACAATGGTTCCCTATCTGCTGGACACAATGGCGAAGGGCGTCTGTAGACAGTCAATGAAGAGATAGAGAAATGAAATTATTTTTAAGTAAACAATCCCTAATTGTGAAAGGAAACAATAGTCGTGGTAGCATGAGCAGAACTTAATGAGTACAGTAATGGAATTTAAGTGTGAAAATAAAGTATTCAAATTCACATTATTGCTCTTTCAAGGAAATCAAAATAAAAACTTAATCTCGAACTCCGAATCCTTTTAACTCTTGCAAGAATGCGTTGATTACTAGGACGAGCTGAAGACGCTTTATTTAGGTTGTGGATCAATTATATTTTGTGTTCCAGATATAGTTGTTGTACAATGTAAAATGCCGTGTAATGACCACATGCAAAATTACATTCGACATTACCGCAAGAGTGATTCCATACAGATGTTGCAGAGTCTGTGTCCACATCCTACAATCTGAACTGGATCCTTCATTGGTAAATGGCACACAAGACAGTCACAGTTATCAGGAACTTTGACAGTGAATTCATAATCATATCCACCAAGTTCTGGTACGTTTTGGCGCGCTGCCATGTTAATTTCGCTATCGACGGGCATAAAATTTGAGGTGGGTGACGTGACATCTCCCAAACTCACTCCCAGGTTCCTCTCTCTTCCTTTCTCCCGACAGAACGCACAGCAAAACTGCTGGGGACAGGGGATAGTGGCCGTTGTAGAGTGGTGGGGAGTTGGGGTTGTAAATTTGACAAAAAAGATGTTCAACGTATACTTTTTAATTGCGTAGCATGATCATGTCAGTTTAATTCAAACCAAACATTATGTTTTGTTCAGAAGACAAGCTTAAAAAAAACAAAAGGAGTAGGGTGCGACGAGTCCTTTAATTCGTGGAAGATTTGATTAGCTTTCGGTATTGTAAACATGCTTTTTTCCTCCCTCTGTGAAATGAAGCTCCAAACTTTTGTCTGCTCGAGCGAGATGTCACCAATTCAGAGCACCAATTATCGTCAAATGGTAATCAACTGGTTGTTGTCGTGACTTTTGGTTTATCTATTTATTTTTTTTTATCTAAAGCCCGTTTTTTAATGGCCGTTTCCATTACAGAGAGGTTTATGCAAGAATTCATGTACGGCAGGCCGGTAGGGGAAAAAAAAGATAGGATTGCATAAAGAACGGTGTTTGTCAAGGTTCGTATGTACTTCCGAGAGGAGAGAAGAGAGAGGACACTGGGAACCAGGATGGATGTCTTCGTAAGTGAATGGTGACTAAAATAAGCCAGTTTCATTCTTCTGGCGCGTAAAAACTGTGCAGAACAGGTTGCTTCAATGTATGTACTTCCCATTCGAAAATACTAGGAGATCTTTTCAGTGTATTTGTCCTTGTAATAGTTTGCAGAGCAGCCGTCTAATTAGGGCGAGTAAACGTTACGTGCCCGCGATCGTTCATTCGACCTCTCATGTCTGATTTAGAGTTAGAGTGGATGGGGTGAGGCTCGCCCGGCCGCCCTTCCCCTCCCTCCTTTTGACCGTCACTTACCCCTTGGTACAAATTTCTTTCTCTCCCCATGATTTTCTCAAAGAAATCGCTAAGCTCTCGCTTGCCAAAATTACGCCTGCTCTCCAGGCTATCCTTGTAACGACATAAAGAACAACTGTTTCTAGGGGGAATGATACTTAAAGTGATTAAATACCTCTTTGTTAAAGGGGGATATCGATCCTACATGAGATGTTGAATTTTATGGAGAAAAGATTAACCTTTTGACCCATAAGAGTGGCTAACATGTTAGTTCCTCTTACAGTGTCACCCCTGAATCACACATAAAGTTCACGAGAATAAAAGAAGTGGTCACCAACTAAAGAAGCTCTTGATTGTTAAACAAGTTTTCCTTTTTTAATTATTCCTGTAGAAAAGTATAGAGAATATGCCTACTGATGTTAAAGTGTAAATGGTTTAAGGAAAGTGGGTGCCCAAACCCCTTCTTCGATCCCTTCCGCCGCCCTTAAGAGTCTCACTCACAAGTTTTGAAAGATTTGATTCAGAGATGGTGAAATGGCACGATAACAGTTTCACAGCAAAAACAAAGGTACTCCGAATGGATTCAAATACATCTTCTTCCCGTCACAAGGCCACCAGGTGCGCATCAAAAGCCAAAATGTCTCAACTGACTGAAAACAGCCACGTACCTGTCCTCGATCTCCGGAAGGTAATAAGGTGAAGTTTGTTTTCTATTCAATTAATCATCAGCTGTCGCTTTAGCGAAGCGTTTTATGATGAACCGAAAGGCAAAAAAATATTTCAAGATTATTTGTTGACTATAACCAAATTCAAACCATAGACATATACTCCTTTCTTTACATTATTTATGCATATTTACTGACAGCACCCTCCTCTTTAACTTAAAATTCTACAAGCCTTTGTAAATAAAAGTTGACTGAATAACTATAAAAGCGTGAGCCGGAGCCATAACAGTAAACCACTTGCGTAATAACAATAAACAAAAGATGAGGTTTCAATACAACGTTTATTTGAAAGTCAGATAAAATGACGGCCAAACAGATTTAAACCGCGTTTGACAAAACAGCTTTAAAAAATGTTTAAGGTCTAATATGGATGGGTTTTAAGTCATTACCTTTCTGATGAAGGCTGAACTGTGTCCTCTTCCTTACCTTGCCGTGATGGGAATAGCATCGTTACCTATATAAGATATGTTATATAACTCATTTGCTGAGGCAAACATCGTACTAAGTTCGTAGTCATCGGTTATCGTAAGAGCCTTTAAAGCTGGGTTAAAGTCAATCACACGCAACATGTTATCGCTCTCCTCCTTGCATGAATTCTGATCAATTATTGCTATTTGTATTCTTTCTGTAAATGGCCATGATAGCTATCTAACACTAAACTTTTCGAGCATCATTTTGATCCTTATATTAACATGTATCCGTTTTTCCACAGAGAAGAGGACTCACTCAGCATAACTTGTTTTACCACTGTTTTTGCTTTACCAAGAAGGGCTTGATAGTGGGGCACTTTCCATACAAATGAATCATTCGCAATCTCCAGCTTCTCTATCTGCTCTGACTCTTATTTAGCCGTCTAGATCACATGCTCGTATTATGACGCTTTAGAAAACAATTTTCCTGGCACCTACATTTAACCAATTTTAACTTGTTTTTTCACCTTTTTTTATCACAGAGAGCACAATTAGAGTTTAGAGGAATCGTGGAGTTTGTTTTATTTATTTGAGAAATCACACAAAAAGCGAATAACATAGGATCTTGATCTGGAAAATCATCATGGTAAGTTGTTTCGTGTGCGCAGTCAGTCCAGTAGCGAAATAAATGAGTTTACTTACTTCGACTATTTTATATAGACAATACTGGCTTTGACTGAGTTAATATGGGAGGGGTAGAGGATGAAAATGTACCGTTCTTGTGTAGGGTGGTGTGGGATTTTTTAAACATCTTTCGTCATTGCTTCTTTCAGGTGATGCTCAAGATGAGATGTTATCAAAACGAGAAGAACACGTTCAGCCAATAACATAACAGACCAAGGAGTATGATGAGAGGTACTTCAGTATAATCTTAAAGTTAAATTCCCAATCTCTAGGATGGGAAGTTTGGTCCAAGTTGTGTGTTGTTGGAGAGGACTGACTTTTTAAGGTGGACTTTATGTCAGCCAAAAATTGGTGGTGTGGATGTAGTAAATTTTGAAAAACGTTCGTTTCAGGCCCTTAGCTCGCGTGGGTGCACATCTGCCAAGAGCTTCACTTAATCGCAGACACAAGGCAACATTATCTCTAGCAATTAATAACTGCTTATATCGGGTGTGAAACCGAGGATCGTTTACAGTTGTAATACAGTCGTATTACCACTATTGATAGTGTAAAAAACAACTACTAAAGTGCAAGAAACTCGGTCATGGAACAGTTGATGAGGTCATCAAATTCGTCTGTCTTCTCTTCATGCTCTTTATGCGTTGCAGTATTTATTCATAAAAATCTGTTGCTCAGTTCCACTGGCAGTATGTCCATAGCTTGAGAGCTATCTCTCATTAATAGCGTTGCAAGACGCGCGTTTCTCCGCCGGCCGGAAGATTTGAGACGAGTCGGAGACAGGTTTGCCGAGGGTCTGACCTCATTAATAGAAAACTCAGGCAGAGATGTTTTTGAGAGGGAAGAAGTCTCTGGCGCGCTTTAACACTAATTTATCGACTGTAACGCCTGCGTTTTAGCATTTTAAACCAAGCTTTAGTGACCAAAAAGGTGTATTGAACAGCAGGAATAAGAACTTTTCACTTCCGGCTGCCGTTTGCGTCTCAAAACGTTGGTTGCTTAAGCTATCTTTTATCAGTCCCAGACCCCTTCCAGACCTCTCCCGGCCTGCGTTGCTCCGAGCCCGATACTTTCCCGCGGTCTAAACAAAAGTGCATACTGATTGGCTAATGATGAGTGCCAGTTCGTAGGCAATATAGAAACGGTTAGAGTTGCTGGGCACAGACAAAAGTCGTCTCAAGTGGAGAGTATTCAGTGTACTTGCGCGTTATAATTTGGTTTGAAAATGAATTTTGAATTTTGAATCCAGAATTACAACAAATCAAGAATTCACTCCTTCAGAGGAGTACGATGTATTGATATGACCCTGGATGGAAGCCTGATATTTCAAGGAGAAATAGCACGGTATTGTGTACTCTTCGTTTGTGTTAGACAACTATTTGTGTGTTTCACAGTGAAGACTTGTTCAGGTTTGTCTATTTCGTGTGATAAAAGGGAGAAACAAAACATAAACACAGATCTGTCTATGATTTCGCTGTCTGTGACTAAGTTACAACGACCCCGATTTGTTCTTTATGGTTTGTTACATCCTTCTATCTCCTCTTTCAAGGCAATTTTTGTTTTAAAACAATTACCCTCTCAGCAATTCAGATTCGTAGATTAACCAATCGCGATCTGGTCACTGACAAACTTCCCTGTTTTAAACAGTTCGTTCATGTTTACTTTTAGTTCCTGTAAGCTCCCTTTAATATTTACCTTTTGTCGGATTGGCCGTTGAGATAACTTTGATTTGGATTTTACGACTATTGATCGAGAGGCACCCTAAGTGATATCACCTCTGGAAGTAAATGGTCTTTATTTGTGACCTCAAGTGCGCTCCTTTAAACTGCAGAGCCAGCGGTGTCCTTGGAGCTGATTATACCTTTGGCGACGTATGTAACCAATTAAATGGTATAAACTAATTTAAAAGTTTTATAGATTTTAGTTTTCTTGTGGTGGTTTTATTTCAACGGTTATATTTCAATATTGGAAAATGCAAAAAGCCATCTTACTACCAAAGCATTGTTGGAAAAGCTAATCGTTTAAAAAGGCAAGCTTTTCAGTTGCGTTGAGTTGCTCGATTAAAATAACTCTTCCAGCAGTTTCTCGAGTTACCAACGTGTAGCCTTTCATCACAGTCCTACGAAACATACACGCCTCTCCTTATTGCACTTATAATTTACTCGTGAAATTTTATTCTCAGCCAAAAAATCACACAAGGTACAAAATGCTAAGTATGACTTTTCATTAGACGTATTACCCTCCTCCTAAACTTCAGGTAGTTGTGTTC